TAAATTAATCCTCCTTTCTCTGCCGTCACAAACCTGCATTCTATAGAAATCTATGTGATTTGTTATAGACTAATAAAATTGTTTTTCTAACCTACTGCTAGAAGTCCTAAAGAAATTAAACTTTATATCTATGTGTTTGTAGTTTGGATGAAATATTATGTATATTTAATTTGATAATGGAGGCAGGAGCCGGATGGTAGAATTGTTTAATGGCTACTAGTAGACTCATACGATACATTTTGAGAAGTTCAACAGATTGCAATAGGATTGCAACGATGATCCGATGATGAGGTCGGGCTGTGTACTTTAGTTTTTAATATCGTTCACTATTAAAGCGTGTTTTTGGATATACTAAAAATGTGTTATTGCTGCCAGCTGTACCACTCTTAGGGAGTCAATACTACTTTTCTCCATACAATACTTCATTTACAATGCAGATCATAAATCTTTCTATCGAAATTCGAACAAGGATCTTTCCCAACGAGAATAGAACAACAAAACAAGTTTAAAATTCAAGTAGTGAAGGTTTCTCTTTTATTTCTTTATTTTTTAGTTCAGTTCAAGATATGACAGTGCATTACCCCCAGACGTCTGCAGTACGGTAATCGACCCTTAAGCTGTTCGGTACAAGACACCGGTCGTTTAAATTATGCGATAAACTTTATGGTCGCAAACATCTCTCCCTCTTAGCTCTCTTACTATTTAGTCTTAAGGGGACGAACAAATTTTGTTCAATGTTGTTTTAGAATTAATGTGTTTGAAAATTGGCTATTTTGCTTTAACCAATAATACTTAGCTTACTTAGCATAAACAATTAACAATATGATTTAGAGGATATAATACGAGTAATAAGTCCTTTTAACTTAAATGAATCTATCTGATCCGATGTCCTTAAAAAAAATATAACCGGTGTTTTCGTGAAAAATTAGCATTTAATTGGATACATACTAACTGACCGTTTTATTATCTTATACATACGAATATACTTAATAATTTTTAATATGGAATGCTACAACAGATATTTTTTACAAAATATGACATAGCATCAGAAACGAGCCATTCTTTCGTTGCCCTATGAAATAATCATTTAAATACTTACTACAATACTAAAAATAAATAGGAAGCTGCAAGTTTCATTTGGGATTATAAAAGGCCGCAGGCGCGGCCAAAGAATATTTGACGTGAAAAATTTAGAAAATTATCACTAATTTTTAATAAACAATTTGAAAAAATGTTGGTTCTCGAATTCACACACACACTACTGATACTGATATTTCAAGGAAGGATTGAATATTAAAATGCAATTCAATCAATATTAAACCAATTAGACCAAAGTATTTTTTTTCAAATAGTCTATGGACAAGAGAAAGCATAGTGACCTTTATTGTCTTTGGTGTAACATTACTTGCAAGTTAGTTATTCGAATCAATATTTAATAAAAATTTAACTAAAACTTAAACCCATACGCGAAATCTTTTTAAATTAATCAATATTACATGTGTTTGGTGACCCTCTAACTTTATTAAGTAGAAGCCCAGTATTTTGATACCCACGTCACTTCAACGAGAGAACATCAAACAGTATTACTTTTTGCTTCAGACTTTTTCAATTACTTATAGTGGAGAATAACGACGCTCGGTATTTATAGTCCATAATAATAAATAGTTTTCGGGACGAAATCACAGTACACCAATACTTTTGTACATTACCAGTACTTTTGGAAATAAGCTGATGCTCTTAGGTTGATCGAAATTAATGTGGGGATCAAACCCACAACACTCAGCGCAGTAGAAAGCGGCATGGCGACCACTTAAACCAATACGACATCGCACGAATGGCGTAGTGGTTTAAGCGGTCGCCACGCCGCTTGTCCGTGCAGTCGCTGTGTGAATTGTGGTTGCCAAATGAGCACTAAACATGTATTTTAAAAATGGCAATTGAAGTTATCTTGGGCAATGAATTTCACCAAAAAAAAAAGTTAAGAATAATGGCAGAAATTCAAGAACCAGGCGATCCGTAGCATTTATTTTTATTTATCTAATAGTATTTTATTTGTGTTTTTAAAAACTGTATGAGATTAAGCCTAATGTCAAGAGTTTAAACCTATACTCCCCCCCCCCTCTCTTGTCTGGCCATACCCTCAGTGTTCTAAGAATTTACTATAGCATATTTTATAGTAGAATCTAATAAATAAAGATCTCATGTCACGGTGTTTGTAGTCGCACTCCTCCGAAACTGCACGACCGATTATTAAGTTTTTTTTTTGGATGTGAGTCCTGTAATTTATCGACATAAGATTCTAAAAGAAGTTTGACTAACACAGATAACATATCATCATCATCATCATCATCATCAACAGCCTTTAATAGTCCACTGCTGGACATAAACCTCTCCTCAGAAAGGAGGTTTAAGTTAGACAAAATATTCTCTGTCAACTGAGTTCAGTCTTTACATGAGTATCAAGTTAATCAAGATAATTTAAAAAGTAGGTTCTATAGTACACAATTATAGTAACCATAATATCTGAATTCGCCGAGTAGCCTACCGAAGGTTTTGCCGTCACATGACCTACATTGCGCTGTTCTTCACGAAAGGTTAAGTTCGTAAATACAAAACGCTAAACAAGTTTTCTTTATAAAAGCAAATTCATTTAATTTTAACTTGGCACATTCATACTTGCCATCATCTGAGGCAAGTATGAATGTGCCAAGTAGGCCTTTGACATAATCTAAGTACAAGTTTTCCTACCTTTTAACTCAACGTGAATCAACGAAACTGGATTTAAATAAACAATGTTTTTGTCTTTTTATTTCGTATTACTGATTACGTAATACCGTGTTTTTGATGTTAACGATTATTAATAGGTAATGAGCTAAACGTAAATTGATAAAAAAACGTTAAAATTATTACTATCACACACACACATGTATGGTACACAAGACTAAATATAAGCCTGCTTATGTAATGTAGGTATATGCTCAAAATACATTCATAGTTTATGTCATAATCGATACCAAAGCTCTTACAGAATAAGTTTAAAAATCAAACGTCAAGTACGTAGAATTATGAAGGCCTTAAATAACATACATGGTATATTTAATCTTTTCTTTGAATCAGAATGTCTGTTATTGACTGCACAAGTCATCTGTGTTGGTCCCAGCAGACAGTGACAATTATTTTTGAAGTACCTACTGTTAGTGTGAAGTACTCTGTGTAAATCTAGAACATTCTTCACAAACTACAGTAGCCAGTAACAAGCATATAGCCTATTTAATATTCAGCTGTCACCATTGTCTGAATGTTTGAAACACCAGGATTATCACTTAGATATATAAGCTGCCTCTATTAAAACTCTTTTAATGTTTTACTCCATATTCCAGTCCGCTTAATGCTATTATTATTTCTTCAAAGTTACAGGAAAAGTTTAAATAACTATTTAACTCATTAAAGTTATTTAACTAACTTTATAAAAAAACGATTAGAAAAATCATGTGTTTTTTGTTCGCTTAAAACCACAGTTTAAACTCGCAAATCTCTAGAAATATCAGTCAGATTTGAATCATTCAAATCTGACTTCTTGATCTTTTTGTAATTATTAAGAATTGATATAAGTTGAAAAACATCACGGCGCTACTCTCAGAAGCGGAGCAGTTACCGTAAGCGTACGTGAAACTGTGAGAAACTATTAGTACCTAATATTACCATATTAATTATTCAACGATGAGGTAGAGTCTGAAATATCTATTTTTACATAAATATCCAAGTTTATACAATGGACTCAAAGTAAGCATGGTAGACCCGCAATTAATAAGAGATTTCAAATTGTTAGTAGTTAATCAGTATTCTGAAGTCCCTATTTGTAACAATACATAAAAAAGGAAATTACGTTTGAGATACATGTCATTGGTTTTTAGCTAGTATAAATATAATCTTTAAGTCAATTATATACGTAAATTTATACCGAACGGTAACCACCCGATAACTTGGCAATAACGTCACACTACGCAAATGATTAAAAATTTCAAATCAATGAACTTTTTTCTATTATGTCTGGCTAGACTAAGATATTTATATACATACAAAAACCCCAGAGAGTCCTGTATTTTATAACCTATTGCGTCACGTCTGTCTCTAAATTTTTACCACCGATAGACTTATCAATACTGGACCCAAATAAAATTTAAGATAATTTCATTGTAAATGTTTAAATCGTATTGTATTGAAACATATTATTTACGGTAAGGGGTTCCTTATCGTAAATAATATGTTTAGTCTGATAAATATTGCAACAGAGTAAATATTAGGGTGTTAAATAACCAGAATTTAAGGAATAAAATCCAATAAATAAAAATAAAACAATGACTAGGTCTCACCTGTGTAGTACACTTACGTCACTTCCTGCAGGACAGCATTATATAATGAAAATGAATCCTATAATCTTACCACACGTTTCCAACGAGACAATAACCCAAGGTAATCTAATTAACAGATATATACTAATTCGTCAAACAAAATGAACCATGGCCTAATAAAGTTTAAATAGAAAATGTTGCGTTGCGTTGATTGATACAAATTGTATTGATATATTCGTTATATCAATACAATTTATATAATCTTACAATCACCAAAGTGTTATAAACAGTGGCGGTAACCAAATCGTTTAGTAAAACTTATTGATTTTGAAGTCAGTCTGTTGGTATTTACATAACGGCACTAAAGGAAAACAAGAAAGAATATACCAATGTTACATGTGGTCTCCGGTAGCGAGGATCGAACGAAGAGACTCACGTTTTAATAAACGGATTGGCAGTCATGTGTTTTTGATGGTGGCCATGTTTAATCGTGTTGACAAAAGCAATTAGCATTGCGAATAACAGTACCCACTAAGAAGAAAAGATGGCGGGTCACGTATACTGAAGATGTATTGTTCGGTTTATGTAAGTTTTTTAGGCATTATTTGTTGGTTATCACGGTATTGATCGAGTGACGCGAAAGGCGCGATGTGCGCGCGGGCGGCAGGCTTCGCCGCGACTGGCAGGGCGGGCGGACTGCGAGCCGCCCTGCGTCGCTTGCCTCGTCGTCGTCATACGGCTGCGCGCCACCACTTTTTAAGCCTCATTTGCGACTACAGCAACGACAGCGATAGCGGGGGTAGCTCTATACACATAAAGCTTCACGTGTATCGAGAAATGCGTGAAAATTCTAACTAAATTCATAATAAATACCAAAGTGAGTACGTTTATGACGCATTTACGGATTAACTACTGCACCGATCATTATAAACATTTTGCATCTATTGTAAAAACAGAAACGAAGTAGGCATAGAGACTTAACATGAAAAACTTTCATCCAAAAAATATGATGTTTACAAGGGATAGCTGCTTGTAAATTGACTTCACAGCATTTGCACAGTAAAATTTTGCAACAAATATTACATTACCGGCAGAAATATAAAGTAACTTACATCAAAATGTTTATTGTATGTATTTAAATATATTTCTATATAAATGAATGTTGGTATTTGTTTGAATTATATACTTTTTTGTACTTATTCCTGAGTACACATCATGACTTTGTCCTTACTTTCTCTACTATCCTTTATTCACTCTAAAGTGTTCGCTGTAAGAAAACTCAGGTTTGCATTAAGCTCGCCTTTGTACTTATAGTTTCCTTAATCACTTATTTAATATTTGTGTGTACAATAAATAATAAATAAAATGAAATTAAAAAAAAGCCAGAGGAATGTAAAAGAAGTATAGTACATCAAACAGGTCAACTAATATACATTTACATTCGGGATTTGAAGATCTTCGGTGTAGAATTACATTTATTACGACACAAATACAAGGCTCAATAATCGCATAAAAACAGAATGTCCATAAAATTTGGTCAGGCGCTGTAAAAGTCCAACTAACAACTTACCTAATAACAGTTTTGGCCGTTTACTATTTGTTTATTATTTTTGTATTAACGAATAAATATGTCATGTAAGTCATTATTTTCTAAAAAAATGTATTTTGTATGAAATTTGCTTAATGATCCTTTTAACATCATTTAGAAATCATTTAACATCATTATTTAAATACGTCTCTATCGCCAAAAATTGAAGAAAACTATAAAAATCTAAAGATGTTCCAAAAACAGTGATTTGTCATTTTTTTTAAAACAACTCCCACATTAATAATATATTCTGTGTCTGTGACTTTAGAAACATACATGAAACTGGCACAAAGAGCACCCAGACTCAGAACAACAATTTGTGGATCAAAGTGAACACAGTGTTGCCCAATTTGGGGATCGAACAACACTCGGCGCAGTAGGAAGCGGCGCGTGGCAACTGCTTAAACCAAAGGGCCAAGTGCGAATTTATTTCACATCAACTCGCTCTCGATACGATTGGCCCGCACTGAAAGCTCCACCAATCGGAACGCTAAACGCGCGCGCCGTTGAGAGCGATGATGTGAAATAAACTCGCACTTGGGCCACAGTACGCCATCCCTGATGTCAAATGGTTCTTAATTACTCTTACGCCGTGTCATATGGTTCTTACTTCTACTCTACTTATAGTTCCATTCTTTTTGTTTTTAAGGTTCAAAAGAATAAAAACAGAACCCTTTTAAGATCACTTTGTAGTGAGTCTGTCCGTCTGTCTGTCAAGTTTTATGATATAAGAGGCAAACGCGTAGACGGGTCATACGTCAAGTTTCTGCCGCCGCCCATAGACACTCGCGCTGTCTTTTATCAAAAAGAAAAACAAATGTAAAATTCCAGTCAAATCTCCAGGATCCCAGCTAAAACCTAAGATACTTTAAAAAATGGACATTCTGGCTATCCACAGACTTTCAGTGCATTAACAATCATTTGTTCTTCATGTTTTATTTAAATAGTTAACTATTAACAATTGACCTAGTAAGTCAGGTTTATTAGTTTAAATCAACTTACTGTATTTCATACTATTTTATAAACAATATGACTTTAAGACTAAAACTTTAAGACTTATACCCACGTCCTTCTTTTTTAAAATCACCGATGTCACCAATATTAATTTTATTAAATAAATAAAGTAATAACAGGTAATATTATTCTTATTTATTTTATTTCATTTTATTATTGGTTTCAAGTGCCCAGAGTCTAGAAAGTGCCTAGTGCTATTTCTACTATTTAAGACCGTTTGTAACGCTTATAAACTTTATAACTGTGCAAACAGTCATATCGCTAAATACGTACAGGAAGGTGGTGCTAATAAAGAACAAAGATAGATACGTTTTAAATATTTCTTTAGTAAGGCCACTAATAGTGATTTAAAAAGAAAATGGCCTTTTGTCTCGAAATGTTTAGATAACACCAACAATAGTTAATACAGTTTTGCCTGGACATCAATGTAAATATTATTCTTAATTCAGCTGCGTGCAGTTCATGACATACCTGTGTAGAGTTTAAAGATAATTATAACTGATCGACGTGCATAAATAGTACTGAAGTGATTAAAATCAATGATCGTGGCGACAAAACTATTTCAAAACAATTAAAAGTAAAAACGGAAGCTGATTATTTTGCAATTTACCTCAGCAAAGGCGAGACCGCCAGTAGTTAAAACAAAAGGTGCTAAGGCTGAATGACTCTGTGCTTCTATAACGTTGTTGCAGATCGCATTTGCGCACGGCGTGCGCACAAAACGTCGGTCACAGAGCAGACTTAACAACTCGCACTTATCGCGGTTCAATCATGGCTGGTGTACTTTTTATTGTTAACGTGCCAAAAAAAGAATACGAAAACCATTTAAGGGAAAACACCAATTCAAATTTGATTGTCGAAAAGGAAAAGGTTGAAAAAGTGTCGAAAGTAATCGATGAATTAAAAGAAAAACAGTTGGAATGTAAAAATATTGATATGTGTAAATCAACAAACAATTTATATCAACACAGAGATGTGAATAGTGAAACATGTAAATTTAATAGTGAAAGTATTCCTGTGGATGGATTTTCTAATAACCGTAAAGTTGTTGTTTGGGATGAGATCAAACAAGCGCTGAAACCGAACAAAAACAAACTCAAGATAAGCCGGCCAGTTCGAAGCGTCGATGTTCTTGCAGCGTTTCGTCAGGATACTCCGCTGGAAACTGTAAGAATTAAACCTTTAGTTATTGTTTTGTAAGAAATAAATTACTTATTTTTGAGTCAAAATTATTTTTCTAATTATCTATCTTTTTTCTTTATTCACAATAGTTTTTATTCTGACACACCAAACCAGACAGATTCTATTATCCTTATTTGTTTTAATATTTTCCTGGTAACTTGCCCAACTTTATTTATTCTAAAAGGCTTAATGAGGCTCTCATTATTGTCATCATCATCATCTAGTCCACTGCTAGACACAGGCCTCTCCTTAGAAAGGAGGTTTTGGCCTACTACACCACGCTCGCCTGACGGGTTGGTATATGGTTTGTGGCCAGCCGCGAGGGGGCGGCATCCGCGTGTGCCGGACGTCGCCTAAAGAGAGGAAAATTTTGAGACGGGGCCCGCAATAGGAGCGGGCCGGCGCTAGGAGGGGTCCAGAAGGCGATAACTACCTGGACCCCTCCTAAACTGGAAGCGCAAAGAGGGCACACCGTGTGGTTTTAGTGGGTTCGAGTCCAACACACCACCCCGCCGCAAACCCCGGTGGGGTGACGGTCCGAGGGGATTTCCACACGTTAAAAAAAAAAAAAAGAAAAGTGTTTGTGGCAAGTTTTCCTTCTCTCTGCAGTGCTGTTGTCCTGCGTAGTTGGCTCCCTTAGTCGGCTCTTACGACACCCACGGGATGAATTGGGGTAGTGACATTCCGTATTCTTAATCCGTCACTACACGGACGCTCATTATTGTATTAATTAATAATATTTAAATTGGTTTAACTGTTCAGAAGTGATAGGATCCAACAAAGAGCATTTTATTTTACCACGTTTTCAGGATTTCGTAGTCCTAACAAAGAACCTCCAGCTTAGCTTCAAGACTGTTACTACTAGAAGCTTTAACTTCCATGGGTATTAACAGGCTGATACAGAGACGTGTTGTAATATGTATATCGTAAATAAGCTTATAGGAGTTTAAGAACTTGAAAATTGACCGATATTACTTTTTGAAGTAGGTTTATTATTATTTAGAAGAAAATGTGTCTTTATAACCAAGTTAAAGCTTTTAATCCGAAAAAAAAATGGATGCAGGCATAGAATTTGATTTAGATTAGATACCTGCATCAAAAATGCCTCAAAATATAATTCCTCTAAATGGTCTAACAGATATTTTAAATTCTTTGAACAATATTAGCTTACTATTTATTGTTATATTTACACTAAAATAAATTACACCTTTTCTAATGTTAGATGTAATCTGACGTAGATTACATCTAATATTAGAAAAGGCGTAATTTAAAATACAGCTAAGTCAAAAACGTTGAGAGAGTTTGAAGACTATTTTCCGGTTCAATGATCCGAGTGCGTAAGTAAGTCTTCAATATATTTAAAAAAAAAAAATGTTTAGCAGTTGCTCATAAGGAGCAACTGCACAAAAAAAACTACATAACCTACACTGCTTGTGGCCTAATACGTACTTGACCGTTTTCTCGTTCTGTGCTATATTGTTTAAAAAAAAATAAACGCAATATAATAATAATGCTACCACTACTAGTTGTCACTTAATAATATGGTATACATACGAGTATATTTATGTTTACATACGGGAACTAACGCGATCACGTAAGTATACCTTACCTACAGGCCTGTTGGTCTGGTAATTAATTAGTGGCACTGACTGCTCTAAGCCAGAGGTCGTGGGTTCGATTTCCATTCAGTACAAAATATTGTATGATGAGCACGATCATTGGCTCTGTATGTGGATGTAATTTATACATAATATGTATGTAAAGAGGTATCAGTGAAGTTTTATTGTATCACGACACATAGTACACTACACTAATTTTCTTGCATTTCTAAACACCAACTAGTGGTTGGAAATGTATCTACAATTGTTTAACTACTATTAACAATTGCCATTGTATAATGCAATGCTGATTATACTGTTGTGCAGAAATGTGTCAGCGAAAACGTTGAATTAACTGAATAGTAGGTTGTGTTAAGTATTTTATTTTTCAATAGGATTGTAAAAGGAGAAAACATCTTTGTATTCTTCGTATGTAGAAGATACGAGATGGTTTTTCCCGTAATTTCTTCCTAGGTAACGCGTTGTCAAATAATAATAATAACTTCACACACCTCACACGTGGCAGTCTGATCCCAAACTAGGCAGAGCCTGTACTATGTTTATCAGCCTGCTGATAAACGTACTTATATATGTATATCTAAATACTATATATAATCACACCCAGACACAGAACAACTGATCGTTGTCTTATTTTCAACTGATTATTTGTCCTGGGTAGGAATCGAACCCACGACCCCCTACTTAGCAGTGAGGGTCACTAACCACCAGACCAACAGGCCTATCAAGTTTTTTTATGTCGAAACGACTGTATCACGTTTGATGAACCAATAGCGGTCAGCTTAAAATTTGGATTAATAGCAGTGTTCATTGCGTAACAGTTATAAGTATTCGACCCATATATATATATATATATTTATATACCCATATATTAGCAATATATATAATTTATAATATCTAAAGTCGATAAAATGAGTATAAAATACTACGATGAATGCTGTGGGTTCGATCCCCACATGGGACGACACTTAGTGTGATCTAAAAATTGTCTTTCTGAGTCTGGTGTTATTTGTGTCCGTTACATGTATGTTTGTAAAGTCCCCCGCGACACAGGATACATTCCTAGTGCAGGAGTTGTCTTTTTAAAAACAAAATCTGTTCAACCCTTTTGTGGTATATAACGTAAGTTAGAAAATCAAATGAAATTCAACAGTACGAGGATTTATTTTTCTACTCTTTATAGATTAAATAGAAAAGTACCAATAGTAGCGTTGTATAACGCACCCTATTACCTCGTAAATCTTTTTAAAATTAATAAACTAATGTGTTTTCCCCAGATCCTACAAGAAATTGTATCGCGGCTTGACATCAAGAATGCAGCTTGGAATTCGACACGAGGCGATAAATTTTGGCAGGTAACGTGAATGAAAATACTTGAAAGTATAGTGTTGTATTTTAGTGCCAACAACCCCTCTCCCTTAATTCTGACTGGAGGTACTTAAAAACGGCGGTTGTAATTACTTACCACGTTTTGCTCGTTTGTCTCCTAAACCAAAACCAAAAAAATGAGACAGATACAAAATAAAACTGATATACAATTTATGTGAAGTAAAAAACATATGACTTCTCTGAAAACAATCTTGTGTAACCCTATTCGAAAGTTGTGAAAATTGACACTTGTACGTAGGTATATGTACTGCTGTAAAAAATATACTTGGTTTTCTTTTAAATCCCACGCGGTTGGAGTCGTATGTGAAAGCTATTTATCAATAAAGGAAGTGATATGTAAATGTTGTTTAATAGTGCTAGACCTCAATCATAACCTTAATCAGAACACATTACGACACTGCCTTATTTTCTGTCCATAGACGACACAATAGATCTTTTGACCATTTATTTTTTTAATAGTTTTTATACTCCCATTGAAATCTAAAATAAGAAACGAAGACTGCACCTTTGTTTACAGAAGTTTTTTGAACAGTTTCTAAACCTGTGGCTGTGAAACACGGGTAAATCGATAAGCAGGAATAATGTCTGCCACAACTACAGAATACGTAATATAGTACACAACACAATAATTGCCACTGCGCCTTACTAAAAGTATACCCATAGCTTTGGATATTATATGTATTAAAGAATTTAGCAGCAGCAACACAAAACAGTGCTGTTCTAGCAAGTGCAAATCAGCCAGGTGTCAGGCCATAAGCAGTGTAGAGTTTATTTAAGCAGTGTAGTTATGTAAATATGTATGTATGTAACGGAATCTTCGAACGTGAGTTTGATTTAAATTCAAACTTCGCATGCTTATCCAGGACCGGTGATTTTACAACAATTTGATAAATTTGGCTGATTATCCTAATCAGGATCTTCAGGATTAACCTCTTTTTCCATACCTAAAAATACGGTAGTGTCTTTTGTTACGTACTAATAGGCGAATGCTGAAGATGTGACTTACTTATTTGTTACTTTTTTAGTTTTAATGAGAAAATAATCATTTATGACTAGAAAAGCAAACATAAGATAGTTTAACAAAAATAAAAATAAACATTCTTCTGTAACTAGCCTAACTAAAAAGTAGAAAATAATTTTCTGTAAATTAAAAAAAAAACATAATAATAAAATTGTAAAAGAGCATGGAGTGCTTTTCAATATATTTTATAATACAATAACATACTTGTATCAATTTCCATCAGTAAAATATTTTTGATAAACATTTGAACAATTGAGATTTAGCACCCCATGCATTTTTATGATATAATGATTTTCCTTTTTGAACTTATAGAAAACTATTTTCTACTTAAAAAAAACACGCTGTTGTAAAATTATTTAGTGTTTTTTTAGGTTTTTAAACTATCTAATAACAACTATAGTTCCTCATGCATAATGTTTGGTTTGTTGTGGGTGTTTCTATGTATAATATGTATATATTTATATAAAAAAAAACAGTTGTCTAGTACCTATGGGACAAGCTATGCTTAATTAGGGACTAGATGACATCGTGTGGATGTGGTAGAATATTATTGTTTTTGAAATTTTAATCTAGTATCAACTTTATCTAAGTATTTTTAAGGATGTGAAAGTTTTAAGTACAGTTTATAAGTTGCCTAATTTCGAAAAGTTACCAAGAAATCCGAGCCCTATAAGACATCTACGTAGTTAAATTCATGTAAAAGCAAATCAAAGCAAGTCCTGAACTTTTAACTATGTTGGCAAAAATAATTATCAATTTATAATTAATGTAATATGCTTTTGATACGAGTAACAAAGAATTGAAAAAATCTAAGAAAAACATAAATTTTCTAGTAAATTAAAAAAATAATTCATCAATGAAACTGACTAAATTTGCACCAAGTGCCTTGCTTGTTATTTATGCAAGGTAATTTTATTGTCAGATTAATAATCTGCTATAAATATACCGCCAATTTGACAAAAATAAACATTTATAGGGAAATCAACAAAGCTATAAAGAAAGACCTTCTTTGTTATTACGTGCCAGAAACCGTCATTCTTTTTAAATAATGTGCAAAACCTTCAAGTTCAAGTCTTCGAATGTAAAGTTTAACTTTTTAATAATAAAAAATATTTCGGTTAATTGTGACTCATTGATAGTAATTGTAAATAGTATGTTTAAACTTAGTTTTCGTTAGTATTAAGGTAATAATTACAAAAAGATGCATGTAGCCTACAGCATCGAGTCATATATGGACAGTCCATTCTGTCGACTATGATGGCAAGGACCCTGTTGGACCTGTCCCTTACCCGTGGCATAAATGATGCAGCTCGTTTGCGTATGGTGGAGTAAAAGCAGACAACTCTTGCCTCTGCAAACATTCCCGAGGCACTGCATCGTGAGGGCAGCCCCACTAGTCTCCTAAAGGCATTATTATATTGGACCCGGACGGCCCCAAATGATGCCAACAAATAATCCTCCCACAAACTGTACTTGTAAAAAGTTGTACCATAAGCTTTAAACATGGTAACTTTTGCCTCTGTGGTACAGTGTACAAACCTGCGAACTATCATATTCGCCCGCACCGACAGAGCCCTTCGTCCCCTCTCAATATCGGTGTTATCTTTAAGATCGGAGGTAACCACACGACCCAGATATTTAAAATGATCCACTCGCCCTAAGGATACTCCGTTAAGTCGTATAGGGGGAACATCTGGACAACCTTTATTCCCCGCAATAAATATAATGTATTGACTTTTGTTCATATTGTAAACAAGCTCGTGATCTTTTACATACTGTATACAAATTGCAAATAAGGACCTTAAACCGCTGACTGAGGCGCTCAGCAGCACCAGGTCGTCAGCATAAGAGAGATTATTGACGCAAATATCGTCTATCTTCAGCTCTGTATTTTTATATATTTAGCTCTGTATGTACTTCAGAAATAAAGCGGGTGTATGTAAACCATATCATTATGCAGTTGTATTTACTAGACACTATTTGAGGGGTAAGGTACACCACTGTCTTAACAAACACACCTAACTAACAGAATAAATGTCGATTAATGCATTTTCCCTTTAAGAATTTCTTCATAATTATTCGTCTCACATTTCTTTTAGCAGCTTTATGATTTCATTGTACGAGTATATGTTACAGTCAGGACTCTTAACCTGTTATGATTTTAAGCCACAAAAACAGTCAAAAGTACTTTTGACAGCAACATTATGCTATATATAATAAAATCTAACCCGAAACTCTAAATAAATGATTTAAACACAATAGAGGGAATCTGGCGCAGCAGTCAAAATCACTATTGCCCAATGCTGGTTAATTATACTTTTGACCAGTTAAGAGTTCTGAACGTAACATAGCTGTTAATATTTGAATCAGTAGGTAACAATCGGTTATAAGGTTTGTACTTTTTAGCAATTCCTATATATACTCCCAGTCCGCGTGGTGACGGAATAAGAATACGAAGTGTTAACACTCCTATTCATCCCGTGGGTGGGTAAGAGCCAATTAAGGGAGCAAACTACGCAAGACAATAGCACTACAAAGGGAAGGAAAACTTGACACAATCCCTATTACAACCCGTGTGGTCAGCGAAGTATAGTAGGCCAAAACCTCCTTCCTAAGGAGAGGCCTATGTAAAGCAGTGGACTAATAAAGGCTTTTGTTGATATGTATTCCAATACTTTGCTACCATTGCCTTCCTTTCTTATCCACCTACTATCTTGCCTCTAAATGGAGTTCCAATTCTAATTCTAAAGTGTCCAGTGAACGGTAACAAGCAAGCCCCCTATTACATTAATGGGATTAAAATTGTAGTTAACAAAATTTGTTAGTTTAATATGTCTCTACCTACCCTCTTGGAATAGTCATAAGTGGGTGTAGGCAGTTAACGACGTAATGTGACCAAACGGTTGAACTATTGAACTGTGTAACTATTTATTGAATTGACATTGACAGGAATGGCCAGTGCATAGTATAATAATTCTTTGAAAAAGTAAAAATATTGGTTTCTCTTTGTATAAGTAGTTGTTACACTATTGAGAAATATGAAACTAATCCTAACCATTGTTATTAATTTTTTTCTTCGGTAAAATGTTCTGTTTACTCATTCTCATATCATTTTCAACCAAAAATATTGGAATGTTCCACTCAGAATCATAGTCTGAATACACTATTCATTACGATGTCCCTTACACCCTGTTACATAAAATTTTCACTTTATTGAAAATAAACTTTAATTAACAAAGAATTTAATAGGCTTTTATTTCATGCCTTTGCGTTTGTTAATGACTGGTGCAATGGTTTTAAAAGTGGTCACTGATGATATTATTCTTCTACGATTAGTACTAGGGCAATCAGCGCTGTAAAGCTCATAGAGATAGAGACCAAAGCTATGTATCATCATTAACAATATCAGGAACAGTGTTTACAAATTAGAACAGGATTTAGAAATTGAGACCTCCTTCTCTTATAAGCACGAGACACAAACTCACTCCTTTCGCTGACGGTGATCTGGCATTTGGCTATCCTTTTGCCAACACTTGGCAATATTTTGTCTTAAAAGATGATAACACTATAGTTTTCTAAGTTTCAATTTCAGAGAAATATTAATCAGATTAATCTAAGTTGCAAGCAAAGGGAGAGACCTATGTCTAGTAGTGGACTGCTATGGACTGATAATGATGATGATGATTAATTAGTATGGTTAAAAGTGCCAATACACAGTATAATCTATGTACGGTACGGAAAGTCTTATATGGACAATGTAATACTTTCCGTACCGCGCACGTACACACGGACCGACAATCGACACGTAACCGTAATTTTTAAAACATTCATTACTTTATTGCAAATTTCACATTTCTCCGTGCGTGAATTTTGCTAAAGATGAGGCCCAACGAATTCTATTAAATTATTAATATGTTAAAGATGCAATACCACTTGCGAGTAAATGTTTTAGCGTGCTTGAATGTGACATACAATTATTGTTTCTTTACTTTACAGGTCACGTTCTCGATAGAGTCAGGCAACCTAAGTGAGGAACTTTTACAAGTTCTCAGGACATTTGGCATAGGGTCACGTCACCAGTCATCAGTCTCTCTCCTACCTTGCGCCTTGTACTACAAGTCAGACGATCGGATACCAACCACTACAGAAATTGAAGATGCCGTACCAGACAGGTATTTTTTTTTAGGTATTTTAATGTATTTTTTCTGACTGAATTGTCTGATCATTGCAAAGAAGTTCCAAGAGAGTCCGATTTTAATTTAATTTATATTGCACCTTAGTTAAATTCTCAGGGGAAAAGTTTAATAATTAAACTGCTTTAAGTACCATAAGGATTATAATCCCAAGTAACGAATGATGGATCCTAAGTACACAACATTTGACATATATAAATTTAAGGTTTGATATTTTCCAAGTCTTCAAAGTTTTGAACGCCTTGTATCAAATTTTTCATGTTTGATACGAGGCGTTCAAGTCTAATAGAACGTAATTATTCTATTTAATACACTATAAAAAATAAATAGCACAATTTAGTTCAGTTTGCCAATTAGCTGTAAGACTTTATTGGAGACCTTGACCATGATTCACAGCATCAATTAATGGTTTAGATAGAATAATTGCATGTGATTATGGGCTGTAGTTAACAATTAATTAGACACCTCTACTCTTCAGCTCTTCAACTCTCTTAACCCCTACTCTCATATCAGTAAATCAAACTTAGTAGGGCGTAACACATTAGTGGTTGTCAATTATTTAGGCATATGTAGGTTGTTCAAGTAAATTGTGAACTAATTATAATAACATAATAACGGTAAAATCTGGAACCAAGAACGAACAAATATTTTTATTAATGAGCCCAATTCTAAAGAACATTATAGAGTAAGGCACGTTAAAGGGTACGGTAGAGGGTTAGTACTATTCCTTTCCATAGAAAAGCGGGTTAAGCTGTACGTTAACCTAGTAGAAGCAGGACTGAGACTCTCTAAACTGGAGGAGATAGATTAAGGCTTCGTAAGCAATGGTATAAGACGGCTAACGTTGAAGACGCAGCCAAGATCTACCGAAGTTCTTGAGGACTTAATTCTTAGGATATACCCGAGTCCCCAGCAATCGACTCAATCATGACTGAACAACGTGTAGTTTTAGTCGGTTCGATTCCGAAATACCACATCACCCTTGGCCTGGGTAAAGTGATGTGGAAGTTTCTTAATGATAAATAAACGAAGGATGAAGGGTAATAGCTTTTCCTCTTAGTTTTACGAGTTTTCCTTTCAGTGAAATGTATTAAACGAAAATATTATTTTATTTCCAGTGAATCTAATACGGCATGGTCCCGATTCTCGACATCAGTCCGCGCTCGTACAAATCTGGCGCAAGTACTACATGACGTCAGGGCCAATGGAACACTTACCTTCGACTGGGTGTTCATGCTGCTGGTCGCCGCATTCGTAGCAGCTATAGGACTGATTGAAAACTCCACCGTTATCCTTGTAGCTAGTATGCTCATATCACCACTAATGGTACCCTTACTTAACTTCTAATAACTTGATTACATTCTCATTGTAGTCATTGTGGTAATAGTCATATATTATAAAATGAACTCATGTTATTTTTTACTCTTATGACGTGACCATCATAAACTCATGGTCGGTCATCTTTGAACGTATATTGAGATAGTGGGTTACACAGAAAGTAAGGATATCCATACCAATATAATAAAGATGAGTTTTTTGGTTCAATTAGTGGTTGCCATAAACGCGCTAATCCCTGGAGTAATCACATTTGAATAATTCTTCTTGATATTAAAATACTGGCATTACGGTTGATGACTTTAATTTGAATACCATTTTCCAGGGTCCAATTACAACAGGAACATTGGGTACAGCAGTACGAGATCGCTCTCTTCAACTGATGGGAGTTAAGAACGAGTTTCTCGGCCTATTTTTGGTACTCGTCGTAGGATTTCTTGCTGGACTTATCATATGTGGTCTTGATGAGCTATATGGTGTTGTTGAAGAATGGCCAACAGGCGAAATGTTAGGAAGGTAGCTATATTATAAAAATAGTAGTAGTATTTATGTGAAATTATTAATAAGCTAATTCCTTAAACTTACGAACTGTTTTAGTAGTGCTGAATAATATGTACAGAATTATACATAAATTACGTTTGTCATGACATGCCGCATACGTCTAAGAAATGCATAGAAAAACAGTTACTTTTCTGATCTCTTACCGTTATTCTTCGTTAAACGTTAATTTCTAACAAACGAGGCGCTGACTTGTCTCTTTGTTCCTTTAAACTTTCTTTCTCCGGACAATGAACCTATCCATTTTAGTATTATCTTGTGGTTTGCGATATAATTTTGAATAGATAGCGGTATTAATAAACATTTGGATCATTTAGATGCGCGCATCGATCCCTCTGGATCGGTATACTCGTCGCGATTCCGAGTGGTGCTGGCTGTGCTCTAGCGGTGCTTGGTGACTACACAGCATCCCTAGTAGGAGTAGCCATCTCCGCCTCCTTATTACCTCCAGCTGTAAATGCAGTAAGTTACTAAACTGATTGTTTACAAGAATGTTTTTTTTTATCGTCCATGTTGTGACAGGTTAAGAATGCGGAGTGCTACCACCCCTATTCATCCCGTGGGTGTCATAAGAGCCAACTAAGGAAGCAAAGAGCAGCGAAATAGACGAAAAACTTATCCTATAATGGACTGAACCCGCCTGGCCAGTCTGATAAAGTAGGCCAAAACCTCCCTACTAAGGAGATGCCTATGTCTTCTCCTTAAATAGGAGGTGATGATAATACTTTTTACAATACTTACAGGATCTGCTCTTCACTGTTTGAATACGTCGGGGATTGGCATACCAATATTTTCTCTAGTGCCTTTCGGTATTGTGCTTTAAAGGCAATATCTTTAAAAACCTTGATAACACAATCTATACTGACTGAAACATATAATAAAACTTGAGTATTTCTTTTTACGTTTGCGCATGTTAATGTCTGAAGTTACCAGTCGGATGAGAAAAATTGTTATTGTATTTGAAAATTAAATTCTTTAGAAAGACATGACATCACATAGGAATAAAATCGCTTAACATAAACGAAGTTGAAACTACGTGAGACGGCTAGTCAAACAATAAAATGATAAGGGACTATGTTGTCTCAATCAATATCTTAAATATCTTAGGGAGATATTTAGGGATGAAGTAGGACCTAATAACTTTATAGAAAGGGATTAACGACAATCCTCCAAAGGCCACTTGTACATGAATTATCTTAGTTCAATTTACATGAGGCAAAAGGATCCAGGCCGATTGAGATTTGATATCAGTTTGACTATTTCGTAGATAATCTGACGTCATAATGTATTTTAGAATTCGCTTCTCCTCTACCGAATTCTAAGATATTTTAGCTTATATCTGTCTTTAACCTATAATAAAAAAATGAAAATTAGGATATAAATGTTTATTGCAGAGAGGATAGTTATGAATGAAATTGTAAGCATTACGGTTACGACTCTGGAATGATTGATTTCCTATACATTTGTTTACATAAGCTATACAATGCTCTGAGTTATAGTAAAGCGTTCCTTCCGAAAATTTAACTAACAATTTACCAAGTTTATATGTGAATGTATCTGAGTTCTTTTTCTAGAAGGTATTCGATAAATCGAAGATCGGTCATCTCAGTTTTCCACATTTACTACTTTAATTGTGCTTACAGGGTCTTCTCTGGTCGATGGCTTTGACACGCCTAGTGGTAAAATCGGAAAAGCAGCACTGGTTGGTACATCAGCCATCGGAGTTAGCTCTTCTAGGTACAGCATCGCTCTGCCTCACCCTTGTCAATATAGTTTGTATATTCCTTGCTGGAGTGGCTGTTTATAAGGTAAGCTGTCTATTTCGTATTAATTTTGTTTTAAAATTAAAAAAAAAACATAACGTTCATCATCATCAACAAAGAAGGTTTTGCCTCTCCTTACAAAGAAGGTTTTGGCCTACTATATCACACCGGCTAGACGGGTAGGTGTTTTCCGAATGTCTTCATAACAGCAGTTCCCGGTTCCTTCTCTTTGCAGTGCTGTTGTTCTACGTAGTTTGTTCATCCCGTGGGTGTCGTAAGAGTCGACCTTAGTCGACTCTTACGACACCCACGGAATGAATAGGGGTGGTGATACCCCGTATTCTTAATCGGTCACCACATTAACATTGATTAACATTAAATTAACGTAAAATACATCATTTAATATAGTATAATATAAATAAATAAACTAATACGTGTAGGTACGTGAATTTTAAATAAAGTCAGATAGAAAATATTAATTTGTTGACTAATATTAAGATCTGTATAACAGGCTAAAACCTCCTCTGTAAGGAGAGACTTGTGTCCAACCGTAGACTATTAGGCCTCATTCGCATGAGAGTTAAAAAAGCGTTGCGTTAAAACCCAGCGTTGGCGCTTTTATAACGTTCTTAATTTGATTATTCATACGAACGCTTTTATTATAAATCACTCTTGTCTTAGAGGCTGATGATGATGATTATTTTATTAAAAAATAATAAATAGTCTAATCCGATCAAGAATAAAAGTATATAAATATAGTTTTTGTAAAGTAAGTAATTTTTATTTAAGTGTGTTTGAATTGGCGGAAATATGTTCTGATGAAGACATGGTTTTTGTTATTGCAATTATAAAAGTACCACTAAAGTCTTTTACGGTTACCATGGTTTTATGGTTATTAAAAGGGCTTATGCACCAGAATATCTTGTACCTACGTGACTGTCACCCAAATTTAAACATTATTAATTGAACTTTTTTCGGAATTTTAACCTGGTCTTATTTTTGTAAAGTAAAGAAACTTTCCATGTCATTATATGCTAAAGAACTTCCATAAAAAAACCTTTGGAAATCTTAAACCTGCAGGTAAAAGAAGTCAGTCCATTAGAAAGAAGAGACATTTCGTGGTGGAGAGCTAACAAAGATAGATTTAATGCTACCATAAAACAAAATAAAGAAGAATCACTTAACTGGGATGCATACACGTAAGTTATTACTTAACATTTGATGATAATCTGTTTAAGATAAATTTAGTAATATGTTTTAGCGGCATGAGTTTTGAGTTGAATTTTCAAACCTTATTATCTGTGTTTGCAAAACAGAAATTAAATTATATTTTTATTCATATACCCATGTATTTAAAATTCGGTTGTGATATGCATGACTTAATTTACCAATAGGCTAATAAGACTGGAAATAGAGTAGCGGCATAAGTGCATCAAGATGCAATCAAACCACATTTGGGTTGTTTTGGGCTTGATAGAGCCTGGATAAACGCGTTGTCCCTTCGGGGGTAAGTTGAAATGACATGCTCCAGGTCCTTCCCAGAGAAGGAGGCCGGCCATGGGGGTGATTTTTAGTCGGGAAGGTTTAGGTCTGGCTCTTGCAATTGCCGCAATGGCGTCCCCCGGATGGCCGACAGGAGACCCGTAGGGGTTTATCACCCCATCGCAGAAAAAAAGTAATAAGGCTGTAGTCATAAATTTATAATAAATATTAGGCTAGGCGCAAGGATAAAGGGGCTGCTAGGAGTAAGTTTTCAAACTGTCCGTTGTTGGAGTGCGGACTAGTGCCATCGCAATTATATTACACCTTTACCTCACCATAATGTGAAGCAAACAATGTCAAAAAGCCGTAATAAACAACAATCTCATATCTTCACTATTATACAAATGAAATACAAACGCTTCCATTTTGCCACATACGTTGAAGTCTGTTGCTAATTCTGCCAACTTATTGATTTTCGCTTACGGTCGCCTACTGGACTCATCCTTGAGACCAACATTTTTTGAACGGAAGCGATCAATGCTAAAATACACTTTCCTGTATGTACCTTACACGTTGTTATACCACAGTACGTTCCTTGGCCAACTAAATATATAGAATAAATGTATAAATATCGTCGGACTCTCGCATATCATTAGAGAACTATTGGTGAGCATTTTAGATATACCTATTGCCAACAAGGCAAAGCCTTTCGGAGGTGCGAACTACACAATAGAACAGGAGAAGAATGGGACAGTTCTCCCTTCTGTCTTTCTGAGTATACACGGACAACAAAGGTCTCCCCAAGGAGCGCCAACCATCCCAGTCTTGGGCAGTCCGCATCCATCCGCTGCCAGGCATTTTCCTTAAGTCATCGGTCCGTCGTGCAGCAGGGCGCTCTGCACTACGTTTGCCTAATCGGGGCTTCCACTATAGTTCATGTCGGCTTCAGCGACCATCAGTCCGCCTGAAGACATGTCCGGCCCACTTCCATTTCAGAGTACTGTTACGTGTTACGTGTAGCTAACGAACGGCAGCTTAAGAAACTGGAATCTGTGGACGCCATTAAATCAGTAGGGTTGCGCTTAGAAAAACCGAAAGGCCCTAGGCCCCGTATAATTGTAAAAGACGTACCCGGTTCTATGGAAGATCGTGCCTTCCTAACAGCCTTATACCGTCAGAATATCAAGGACGAATTAAAATTAAGTGAGAACGATTTTATTAAGTCAACCAAAATTGTTAGGCATCGTAAACTAGAAAATGGGCGTCAATGGATAGGCTTAGAATTAGAGGCAGCAGTTCGGAAACATCTAGCCAACACAAAGGATAAACTTTATATAGACTGGGCCACATGTAGATTCATAGACGATATAGAAGTAGTTCGTTGCTTAAATTGTCAGCAATTCGGTCATGTACAAAAGTTTTTGCACCATTAAAACCCCTACTTGTGCTAATTGCGCCGCCGCACACGAAACGCGAGCTTGTCCAGATAAAGACACACAAGATTTTAAGCCCACGTGCGCACAGTGTAAGCGGTTCAAAAAACCATCTGACCATCGATGCGGCTCATACGACTGTGCCACATACAAATTAAAACTGGAACAGCTAATATTAAATACCAATTACTGAATAGCTTAACTTAGTTTAATAAAAAAAAAAAGAAAAAGAAAAGTTTAAAGAGTAACTTACTAAGTAATGAATAATATTTCGATAGGCCAGTTAAATCTTCATAACGATAAAATAGCTACATCAGAATTAGACCGTTTAATTTTAGAACAAAAGTTAGACATTGTCCTTTTACAAGAACAATATCAGAGCGCTCACTTGCGTCGTAATGTAGTACAGCTTGACTGCCGTTCGCAGGCTGGGATATATGTTGCAAGTTCTAATTTTACGGTAACATCTTTGCGTAATCTTATGACGTCACACTGCGCCGTTGCTGAGATCTCATCCTCTACCTGTAAGGTTTACGTAGTGAGCTGCTATTTTCAATATTCACATCCTATTGATCCTCACTTACATCACTTACGTTACGTCTTGCAGTTCCTCGTGGGACATAAAATTGTCATTGGCGCTGATGTCAATGCGTCATCTTCATTATGGTATAACAAGTTGCGTTCAACCGACACGGTTCGACGTTGTGCGGTTGAAGATTTCATTGCGGAAATGAATCTTATTATTCACAATACCCCCGATGCACCAGCAACTTTTTGCAACCCAATGGGTGAGTCTTCTATTGACGTGACGCTTACGCGCGGCGACGTCTCGATATCCGGATGGCGTGTCCTTCCGGACGCATCCTGTAGTGATCACCGCTTGATCGTGTACGAATTCATACCAAGGGTTGCACAGGATCCACAAAGGGCTCCCTATAATTTTAGATATAAAACTAAAGGTGCGAACTGGGCTTTGTTTGGTTCACTCTTTGCAACTCATACCGAAGACTTCAGTCGCAGTAGTTTATCAGCTGAGGAAAGCGCAGAAATACTATCAGAAACTTTTACATACTGCGCTGATGTAACTATTGGTCGCGGATCTATCACTAACACTCGTAGATGTGATTGGTGGAATGATAGATTAGCCGAACTACGTAGAAGCTACCGGAAAGCTCGTAGAAAATATAACACACTATACACTATAGTATACATAAACACTATTAAAAAACATAACGTATCAGGAGATTTGTACAACAATGCTCTCATTGCTTTTAGAGTTGCCAGGTCCCACTACAGAGCTGCTGTGGAAAAATCCAAGGGAAACTTAATTCAGAAACTTGTTGATAAACTCGATAGAGAGGGCCCGTGGTCACCTTTGTATCACGAATTTAAGGCAAATAGATCAATCGACCTTGCATACATACAGAACATCAAAATTAATAACAGATATACCACAGGAGTAGAACAAACAGCAGAATATCTTTTAGACTCACTCGTACCTGACGATCGACCGGAAAACGACACTGATCATCACCGACAGATCAGGCAGTGGGCCATCGAACCACCACTGTCTCCAATGTCTGATTTACCATCTTCAGACGAATTTCTCGGTATCATTAGATCCTTACCGCTAAACAAGGCTTCGGGCGATGATAAAATATCTAACAAAATGATAAAAGAAGCTTGTAAACTTTCGGGTGACACGATTTTCACTGTCTTTAAACGTTGCATTGCTGAAGGAATATTTCCTCGTACGAGTATATGGCGGTGCGGTAATACTCGTATAATACCAAAAAGTGGCGACAAGCCACCGGATGATCCTAAATCCTACCGACCAATCACATTTTTACTATCGTTAGGAAAGCTTTTAGAACGTCTTGTAGTGCCCCGGCTTCTGCCAGGTGGAGTCAAATTTCATGATAGACAATTTGGATTTACGTTGGGTAAATCGACAACTGACGCTGTTATATCGGTTAGAAAGTTTGTCACAGGGTCAAAATTTCAATACGTGCTTGCTATTTTCTTAGATATATCTGGCGCCTTCGACAACGCATGGTGGCCCATGCTGTTGCTGAAATTAAAATCACGGGGGTGCTTTAAAAATATTTATTTCCTTATCGTACTTTTCACACGGTACAACTAAACTAAGACTTGGTCATCATTCTGTGTCGAAGGCGCTTACAATGGGATGTCCTCAGGGATCGGTGCTAGGTCCATACTTGTGGAATATCGGCTTCGACGATTTTCTTGCGATACCAATACCATCCGGATGTACTCTGAACGCGTATGCTGATGACGGCTTATTACTGGTGGAATCTGATACTAGGGCGGGGCTTGAGAGATTAGCCAATAGATGTTTGAAATTGATATCTCAATGGGGTGAACGTAATCGCTTAACTTTTGCACCCAACAAAACCTTCCAGCTACTTTTAAAAGGTAACTTCAAATCACCGCCGAGCATTAGATTTGACAATGTTACTGTAAAAAATAAAACCGCAGTGTGTTATCTAGGATTAGTTTTAGAAAGAAACTTTTCATTTATCGAACATATTAAAATAGTTAATGAAAAGTCTAAAAAGAGTTTCTGTGCATTGACAAGGATATCAACTGCGACATGGGGTTTATCATTTAATACATTAAAGATCATATACGGAGCTACTTATTTAGGTTCAATGTGCTATGGTGCACCTGTATGGGCCGATAGGGCGACCGTAGGCGCTGTCCGTCGCAAACTGTTACAAGGCCAACGACTTGCACTGATATTTTTGTGCAAGGCATATAGGACGGTTAGCACTGAGGCTTTGCCGGTGTTGGCGGGTGTGCTTCCGGTCGATCTCGAGGTGCAGAGACGTGCAGCCATGTACTATTCAAGACAAAACATGGAATGCGATTTCTTGGGCGCGCGGGATCGCGGTAAAATTACAAGATTGCTTCAACAGCAGTCCGATGTCTATAATGACCTCATAGACGAATGGCAGCAACGCTGGGACGAATCATCCAAGGGGCGCCATCTTTACCAATTTTTTCCATCAGTTCGCGAACGGTTGTCGAGCAAGTTGTATTCATTTAAATTAGTCGAGTCACCATTGTGTCAATGCTCAACACCTAACTCTCATTATGAACAATCTGCTCATCATATCCTCTGGGAATGTAGTCTTTGGTATAATGAACGTAATATAATGCTGAATAACTTGCAGGTGACATCTGGGGCGGTATACTATGGGGATCTTGTGTCAACTAGGGTGAATTTCCGTGCGTTTAGGCGATTCTGCCATACATATTATAGAAATCAAATATAGCTCACGTAGGACCCGTAATATATTGTGGCCGTGGTGCTTCCCTGTTTAAAAGGGTGTATGCCTATTTTACTTCATTTTGTCTCCCGCTTTGCTAAGGAGGGAAGTGGATTTACTGTATTTCCAACTCCTCCAATTTTCTTCTGATTAATTTCGTTGCGGGTTCCAAGACAGTTTAATTTCTTCCTGGGACTTCCCGAGTGTCATAACTCGGTGTGTTCGTGGGTCACTGCTGTGGATCCTGGTGTACAGGAGTTACAGTAGTGGGCGTGTGGGTGGGATTAGTCCCAAAAAAAAAAAAACAGTAAGAGTAACCGACATGGTTTCTCTTACTGTGACTGTATACCCTAATTGCATACTAATGTTTGTTTACTCATGTTTATTGCTCTTATTATTAAGTATTATTATTTTTATTATTTATTATATTATATATATATATATATTATATTATTATTAAAAATCTTTATTGCTCTCTTTTTCTTTTTCTGACATCCCATTAGACCATCAAGACTTTGGTCAATATAAGAGATTTTTAAATATTTTCCCCATTTCAGTCAGTGGTGCACTAACTCATTAGAGAGAAAAGAAAAACAGAATGCAACGGAAAAAGAAAAGGATTCGAATAGGCCGTCTCCACTGCACAGTCAGACTGTGACATTCAGAAAAGAGACAGCCCTTATAAGGAGATTGAGGGCTCACAATATGGAAACATACTGCCACAGATTACAGTAAGTATTTGGATATTCTGTAAATTCTGTTAACACTAGCAGATTTTTTATGCGTTAAGTAGATAAGAAGCGAACTTAGTTGATGTTGGATTAACATTACACCATTGGGCATCCCTGCAATATAATAATATATGACTACATCTAAAACAATTATTTATGGCGTAACAGTGACGGACTTGTTGGACTTGTGGTTAGTGGCTAAGGCAAAGATCGTGGATTCGATTCCCATCCATGGAAAATAATAGTGTGATGAGCACGATCATTCATTCTGTGTCTGGGTGTAATTTATTTGGCAGCATAATATCAATAGTTTTGTCACCACAGTACAGGCTTTGCCTAGTTTGGCTAAAAGAACAATAACCAGTTTTTGTGAACATTTGAATCATTTTCAAAATTAAAACATTAATTGTAATTAATTGCTGTATTTTCTTTCAGGCTTGAAGACAACTATATTCCACTTAACTCACAAATGAACGCCGACCTTCAAATGCAAATTGAAAGCCACGCTAAAAACGGTAAACTGCAAAACACAGATGAAGAAAATCCGATGAAAAGTATTGAAGAACCAGCGGCAAATAATGTGTATAGCGGCTACTACAACTTTGCATATCATAACGATCACTCGAAGACGAGCTCTGAAGCCCCTACATTGGAACCCTCTTTAAATGTTACTGTAGATAAAAGTAATTATGTTATATCCAATAATAAAACATTTGACGTTTAACAATTAATGTTTATTTACAAACTACACTTGATCACTTGACAGAAAATCTAAGGGCCACAACTAGTCGGACATCCCCGTAATACATAGGTAAATAAAACTAAATAAATATGAAAACTTCGGCAAATTGAGAAAATTAGGCATTATTCAACTAAAAAACTTAATCATTATTATATAAAGTTAGTTTTTACAGAATATAGGAAACACACGTAGAGAGATTAACGAACTACAAGATATTGATCCGGTTGCTAAAATGTAGAGTACGACGGGCGGCGGCCTCAATCTAGTTAGTCAACATTTTTTGCTGTGAAATCCCGAGATCTACTATGTTAAATGTTTCATTTATAGACTCTAGTGTCTCTTCAATCTTATAACACACTCAGTTACATGAAGACTTTTTTCTTTCACCATAGGCACCTATCCTGTATCAGGTACAGATGTGGCTATAATGTTTTTAATTAGTATCGTTATTAATAGAACTGAGTGAATGAGTGAGTTATGTATTAAGTAGGTACTACAAAAGTTCTTCCATCCATTCAATTCATAAAATTTTGACCCATGTGGAAAATGTATTTTCACTAATAGTTATCAAAGCAATGCTAACATTTTTTTACCATACTGTACTAAAAATGTTCTAGAATAGTTTTCTCGTCTAAAAACTTACCTGCGTCCATACTTATATTGATTTATAAACTTGAAAGTGAGATTTTTTGTTTGTTACGCTTTCACGCCTAAACCGCCTGATTCACCAATGAATAGTTTTATACATAAATTTAATATATAGATATATTTGAAAAGCGCTGACTGACTCATAACAAAATTAAAACAAATATACAAACAACAATTCAACCTGTATTAATTTACTCAAGATGTCACGATGCTCTAATTATCTCAAGAAGACTTTAATTATATGACATTAAAGTGTTAAACGCTGTGGTAGTTCCGGCTATATCTTCAGTCTCTCAGTCATCTTTTGATCCTTGGACAATAAAGGTCAAAATGCCTGGTGGTGTAGTGTTCGTGATTTACATACCCTCAAGCAACTACGAACACATCTTAAGATTTGGCAAACCAAAGGATCTTATAGTTATCAACGATACTGCTATAAAACCAGGACGATTGGCAGTGGAGCTGAGAAATAAGAACACTAAGAGTATCCCTATACATTTAAATGAAAACTATTATAATGATGGCTTCAATCGGAATTTGGAAAATATAAGCGAGTACGAAGAATTTCTCACTATGGAAAATGTAAGTATTTTTAGAAATTTCGTATCAGTAAAGACACCTGTAACATAAATACCTGACTACTACGCCAGTAATCGTAGAGTCGATTCCCACCCAGGACAAATAATTGTGTGATGAGCACGGTCATTTGTTCTGTGTCTGGGTGTACTTTATCTATAATATCTATGTATTTAGAAATATATATGTATGTTTATCAGCAGTCTAGTTACCATAGTACAGGCTCTGCCTAGTTTGGGATCAGACGTAAACGTATTATTCTCTTTATTGCATTACATATACATATTGATTACATTTTTAAATATATTACAAAAGAAAAAAAAAAACACAAAATATTAGTAGAGAATATATTATTATTATTAAATGAAAGTCAAAACACGTAAGGCTTACTATAGAGTCGCAGAATGGATGTACATTAGTACAACGAGTTGGGTTGGTTTGAATGAGAAGCAGAGTATTTACAATGAGCCCATACTCTGCTTCACATCCAAACTATCCCAGGCGAAAAATACCTCAGTTCGTCAGACTTGTTGAGGTCCTTTTGTTTACCGTGATCTCCACTCTAATATCCATTTGCTCCAACGACACTCCGTGCTTTGATAGATGTGACCAGGTCACTACCACTTCAGCAACTAATAAGACTATCTTACTTGACTTAAAATCCTATGTAGCTTAGTTGAGAGAGCCCGAGTCCTAGTGACTCTCACTTACAGCTACTATCTTGAAATATGCAGATTCCGTCAGTTATGACCTCCATTTGTGCATTATAAAAGGATAAATTACCTGCCATTTAAGACAACAGCACAAAGATAAGGAAAACTTTTAAAAGCCTAAACCCGTTAAAATAAACCCGTCTGGCCAGCGTAGGATACAACCTAAGTTATAGTATGAGTAGGATAAAACCAGACTTTCTGAGGAGAGGCCTATGTCCAGCAGTGGACTATTAAAAGCTGTTAATGATGAGGAACGATTTTTTTTAAACAAAATTAGGCTATGTGTAGCAGTGGACAACTAACAGATGATGATGATGATACCTGCCATTACCTGCCTCAAATTTTAATAAACACTATTAGTAATCTAGGTTTATAAGCGATATTGACCAGACCAGATAAGAACGTAATCACTTCAAAGAGACGATCAGTATGTTTCTCTTTAGATCTTACAAGAATTATTGTCTAAGCTACACGTGGAGCATGTTGTTTGGATAAGTGACAAAGCCGGGAACTATTTTGAGATCATATTCCCATTGCCAACTGGCGATCAATGTGAAACCATGCTTCATTGTCTCACTCAACTTGGCATCGGAGTACAATGCAAATCTATTGTCAGGTAAACACCGTGTATTTTACTAGAATGCACTATTAAAAAAACTAAAAACCGCATAGCATAGTATCATCAGTATCAGGAAGACTAACTACTAATTTTTTATTGCTTATACTTGAGGGACTTTTAGCCATAATTGACTATGTCAGTAATTTTTATTTTAAACATTGAGAGCACATATTTAGGCACAGCTTGGTTTTAAATGCGCAGTGCCATCTTGATCATTTTAAATCATTGTTTACTTGACTGCAAAATTGTTAATTGTTACAGATCAGCAAATCGTTTCGATCAATTGAATTTCACGGGATTACAGCATAGTTTTTTTTTTTTCATTGTCAATTTGTTTTAACAGTTTTCAAACGCACGGTGTAATTAGGAATGATTAGTTTGTTTTCAGAATTCAAGCATTATACCTACAAAATCAATTATCTTATTTTTCAAAGTTGTAAAAAGAGTAAAGGAGTTATAACGGTAGTTTCGTCATGTACCTACTTCTAGCCCTACCAAGGTGGTGAGCTGGCATATTATTGTAAAACAAAAAACGCGAGCGTACTCTTACCTTGAAAGCCGGTAACGCACTTGTGATTCCTGAGTTGCAGGCGTTCAATGGCGGCGGTAGTCGCTTACCATCAGGTGACCCATCTACTCGTTTGGCTCCTATATCATAAAAAAACCTCGCCTTGCTAGACTGAACGTTAATAATTAATCTATGAAAGCCTTAAAAAAAATATGGTATACCTACTTTATTTATGTACGTGAGTACGCACCTACTTTATTATGTATATGAGACCTCGGGTTCGATTCCCGGACCATGCAAAATTTTATAGAGTTTTTCTGAGAGGCAAAATAGCCTAAGTTACTATTTATATAGACTACTACCGGGTAGTACTCGTATAATATTATCAAAAACGGTCTAGCCGTTTTGAAGATTACCCAGAACAAGCAGACAGACAGGCAAAAAATAGTTAAACTGGTTTTTAGGCATAGGTATCGTGCAAATAACCGTGTGAGCTTGACATTACAAACAGACACTTCAATTAATAAAATAGAAACATTTGAATAGTGGTGTAAAAATAAATACATAATTTATACTTTATGGGTCCTGTACCTACCAAAACCAATTTGGTTACTAAAAAAAAGAAATTTTTGAAATCAAGTTCATAATAAAATCTATTTAATACTTCGGGCATCATATTATCATAAAGGGCACTCACGTGAACCCGCCAACGCATCTACCTGTACCCGATATTCAACACCTTTAAGTGGACAGAACGTTAATGGAGCCTCGGGCTCTAATTAGGGTTGACACGTTTATCATACCTATCTGTCACTACCTAAACACAATACCTTTATAGCTGTCTAATAATATTTAGTAACAGCTATATTTTGTATTATAATTTTAACTCTGGACGCAAAAAGAGGGGTGTTATAAGTTTGACGTGTCTGTGTGGCTGTCTGTGGCATCGTAGCTCCTAAACGAATGGACCGACTATGATGTGGCTTTAATTAAAGCTGACGTGATCAAGGTGGTTCTTTAAGAAGAAAGAAAATATATATTAGATAATATTATATTAGTAATATTATTCTGAAGATCATCAGCTTATTTCTTAGTTGATGAAGAGATCTCACTAACTTACATAGCTCCCATTGATTTGAAATTTGGTGTACTTGCTACTTTAGTGGTATATCCATGATATATTAAATTTGACCTGGTGCTTCAGCCAAACATTAGATTTGGGGGTGTTCAAAATGTTTAATTTGTGTTATTAGTATAAATTATTTTTATCCGTGATTAGATTAGAAAAGACTGGCTCCGACTTTTTTACCATGAACTATTTCATTAAACAAATTTTATTGTAAAGTGAGATAGTATCATGAATGTGATTGGGTTGTGTTTAGTACTTACTGAAAGAGATAAGTTTTGTAGCTCTGACATTAAAGCGATATCAGGTTTTAGTAATAAAATTTATTTGGCTTTTTGAAACAGCTGTTCATAAAACTTTTTGTTTGACCCACGACATTGACAATAAAAAATGTATTGACATCCATCTTAAACCCATAAAATTTTAACTTTTATAACGTCATCTGTGATCAGAGCAACAAACTGTGGGTTTATACAACTATGTCACATAACTAGGCAGATTTTAATCTAAATTGTTAATTTGAACTTTATTTCTAATCTATTTTCCGTTTGAAGTAGGGACGGTTTCAATGTTCCAAACTCATGTAAATGCACTATCTACATCATCATCGAAGTAAAATACGGATGCAACGGTCAATTAAATTCGCAAATCAGCTCTTTATTCGCTTTTAAATAAGAAAAACACTGTTTTTTGTTACAAAGCTACTGGTTAACATGGACATTGCAAACAGATTATGGTGGAAGGTTTTATTAAACGAAGGGCCGGTTTTTTAATCATTGGGATTAAATTTATATCGCTGTTTACAAGCGAATAAACTCCCTAATAGTATTACTGTATTCTGTGGAATAAACGTTATTCTGTTTTTCAATCGGGTGTAAACCGACAGATAGTTACTTGATGGTCTTTAATAGCTAAGTTCACTGTAAATATGCGCAAGCGAGATGCATCTATACAGTTATAGTTATACAGTTTTAGCATCTATGTATCTAACGTTAGATAAGGATATAATATTTTACATTTGTTTCATTCCTTTCTTGTCATTACTTGTCTGTCAGATAATAAGATAACCTTATTGACGGTATTAGTGACGGTGAACGATGGTATAGTGTTTTGTGTAACAGACTGTTACTTGAAAGGTGGCGGGTTCGATTCCTGCTCCATTCAAATATTTGTGTACATTTACATTTCATTTGTAAATTTTGTCTGTGTGTGTTTCTAAGCTCTTAGTTTAATTGTGTTAATGTGGTATAAATATTATCATTATCATTCATTTTACTTTAGTATAAAATGGAATCAATTAAGAAACGAGCATTAAATTTCGAGAAATTGCATTTGCTAATAACTTGTAATGAAATTCTTCATCATCACACGAAATAGTGTCATATCTCGCTTCTCTAAAAACGCTTTCTTTTCTCTTAGGACACAGTAAAATTTAAATACTTAACTTATTGAGTATTTAAAGTTTGCTGTGTCCTGTGTATATACGTTGCCCTTAGGCAGCGTATATAAATTTGACTACAGAAAATATTAGAGAATGAAAACAAATACACCAAAGTCTAGTGCACTATTCTATAGATAACATCACTGAGGAGTGAAACGGCATAAAGTTATTCCACTGATTTAAGCTTTATTCTTCAGATAATAACTATCTGACCATTAAAAAGTATAAAATTACGCTAATTGTGGAATTAATTATATCTAACTGTTTATCTGAGGATTGAAAAACCGGCCCTAAGCAAATTAGTTTTAATTTAATTAATGCATGTTTATGTGTATTTAATATGTGTGGTGAAAGTACAACGTTAAGGTGACGTGCTTAAATAAATATAATTAAGAAATAACGTCTCTGCTATGCGATTATTATATACACTCACGCCTATTTCCCTGAAGCGATGAGCAGAGGCGTGTTAAACCTCCACATCCCGATCTTCCATAGTCATGCATAAGTAAAAAAAAATTAAGTACTTTTTTTATGGCTGCTCAATCTGCAACTCGGTGGTTGAAGGCACTGCAATTCAACTAGTACCTACCTACCGTGATTTATATATGTGTCCCCTACCAAATTGTATGATTGATTTTTTTATCGAAACGTTAATGTTTCAAACAACATCAGAATTTGCTTTTACATCACCGTATAAACATCCGACCCTTTCAACCGTTTATAAAACTCATACTATCATAGCTGGATGCATAGAATGTCAGCAAAAAACCACAAATCAGCTTTAATTTAAAATCTTTCTTAGATTACTTAAACTTAACACTTAACACTTTAATCAGTAAAATAAATGTATAAGTTTTTAATTTACTTTTAGCGTTCTGCCTTGTAACGTAGTTCATTCGGCTCTGACAAATGATGAATATGATGAAGAAACACATATGTGAGTAAACATTTGCATATAATTTGTATAGGTGAATCCGTAAATAAATAAAGATCTGTCTAAGCCTTAAAAATATAATATAATATTGTTTGTACGCAGACGAAAATCAGAGGACGCAAGACGCTGGCGGAACTTTGTGGAATCTATCAGATCGAAACTGACAGTCAAACAAGTGGTGGACGGGGTTCGAGGCGGTGGAGAATTGTCTTTTGATTATTTAACGTTGATTATAACGGCTGAGTAAGGATTGAATAAACTTTTATTGATGTGAAACCGTAGTTATGAAATCTGGTGATGCCCAAAGTAGACAATAGTTGGCATTTTCAATTGACTGGTTGAACTGATCGTCTTTAGTGGCCCTCAATATTGAGTTGCTACATGGCTTCAAATTCATTGTCATATTGTCACATAAAGAGAACCTATAAGTATAAATAATTTACGATATCTTTGTAGCTGGGTGCTGTGTGTTAAAAAATAAGCATCCCAAAAAAATCTTACATTTTTGTTTCAGTTCTCTCGCGGCTTTAGGCCTAGTGGAAAACAATGCTTCAAATATCGTAGCAGCAATGTTAGTTTCCCCGCTCATGGGCCCTGTCATGTCTATCACGTTCGGCACTATAATATCTGACAGAAGCCTTGTGAGAAGCGGCTTTGAGAGTTTAGTTATAGGAATGTTAGCATCTCTGGTATTTGGATTCATATTTGGACTAATTTTGGGAACGACAGAAATGCCTTGGGGATTTGGTGACTGGCCTACGGAGGAAATGAAGGGACGGTAATTTACTCTTAATTAATTATGTTTTAATTTTAAAAAGAAAAACTACCGCCACTTCCTTGGCATCTTTAATTTTTTACGTATACCTAAAATATATACTAAACAAGCACGGTATAAAATGCAATGCACTATCGCACAAAATTTCAAGACATTAGATGGACTCCTAAGTTTATTTGGAGAGCAAACATTTTACCGGTGTAATTACTTTTATTTTTAAGTTCTATATAATTACTTAAATTTGTAAATTTCAAACAACAGCCAGTTACAACACTACCCCTCATTGACTAAAGATATTTTTTAGAGGTAACGTGCGTTCGTTATGGATGGGAGTACTTTGGGCTCTAACTTCTGGAACAGGAGTAGCATTAGCTTTGCTCCAGGGTAGTGCTGGACCTCTAATTGGTATAGCTATATCAGCCTCTTTGCTACCACCTGTGGTGAATTGTGTAAGTAATAAATTAGAATATTTTTACTACAAGAACGCTATTGGTGTCGGATTTCAGATTCATTTTTCTTTTTAAAATTAACATTAAATTGCCATTTCTTATTAAAATCGGTAAAAAAAAATCTATCTGACTATACTTTTCTCATCATAAATGATCAGTGATTTTTTATGACTAAGATAACGTGTGTACCCAATTTTTTATTATAAACGAAGAGCCTATGGCGTTGATATCAAAGAAATAATCAATTTTATTACGAACTCCCGTTTGGAGGATCCGAACTACTAGATGTTTCCAAAAGAATAGGTACCCTTAATGCCAGCTCAGATCCATAACAAAGCTTACCCGAAACTATCCAAACTCATAAATAATTAAATTTATTATCAGCTACCAATAGACATATATAATTTAAAAAATATATGTTGGTACATAAGTGCTACAATATATCATTTTATTTTTAGGGTTTATATTGGGCATTGGCGTGCATTTGGCTGCTTTATCCAGGAATAAAGATTCCTCATATAAAAGGAGAACCTTATACTGGAAACTCATCATATCAACCTCTATACCATGATTACTTGCCGATTGAATTTGCAGTTAACGGTATTCTAGATATTATCTATGTATATATAAAAATCTTTGTACTAGCCAATTTAAAACAGAGAATTCTTAGAATATTGTTTATGTTTGCATGTAGAGTTGTAAAAAGCTATGAACTTCTGTGCAATATGTCTCTATAAAATGACGGTTAAAATAATGGCTATGTCTATAATATTGTTATGTAAAATATTTCTTTTTGAACTCAAAACCTTCAGAATTCTCCTTTTTAATAAGTTATCGTGAGACTATGTTCTTCTTTGGTAATTTAATAATATTAATAATAATAATATTACTTATATATCAAAAAAAGTACACACTATTTCGCAGTCCCCGACGAACACTATGGTAATCGCTATTACGATAGAATCGGGTTTATTAGATATTCGTTATCTACACACCCTATTACAATCATTGATTTTTTTTATGATCGGGCGATGAATACTTTTGGATTTATCCTGAATGGATAAATCCAAAAGTATTCATCATAATGATCATAATGATCTTTATGTTTTTGTTCAACGTATAACATAAGTGAAAAATTTACACGATCAATAACGCAAAAACCTATTACCAAATCTCAAAAGTCAACATTTTAGAGTAAGCGGCTATTACCATATTGTTCGAGGGAAAAATGACAGAATCAGAATCAGAATTTATACATAGGTACCGAAATGGTTATAACACCTAAAAATGATCATCGAATAAGCATGTAATTTATGTTTACCGTAATATTAAAGTCAGTTATATCATCGAATACGATTGCAATGTCATTTTACGAATATAAAGTATATTCATATTTACCAAGGAACAATATCATAATGAACGATTACTACAGCAACACCGATTTGTGATTACAGTCGAACACTATCGTAAAGTTAGTTTGCGTTAATTTTTTCCATAGCTTATTTCAGTAATGGACATTTTCACAATTTTCTTACTGATAAAGAAAATTTATGATAAAAATTTAGTAAAAATCTAGTGCAAAAAAATATTTCCTTATTTTTGATAAAAGAATCTTCTTTTTAGTCTTGATAGTATTCAAGATATTCAGTTTTTATTTGCTCCTGTAAAATTGTTATTTTCCTATTACGATTTTGTTCGTCGGGGACTGCGATTTTATTGATTTTTACACGAATCTAGACGGGTATACTAGACTGAACACTCTCTTACTCAACAGTTCAACACTCATTTTTACATTTACTTCTTTGAGCTAGATCGTCCGAATTTCCCGGCAATAACAAATATGAGACCCTAACCTTCTCGAGCTAGGCTGATGCCTTCTTTCCCCAATCTACCTATCCGTACTATAAGCAATAAACTGTTCCTTCTCTTTCCTTCCTTTTCTTATCTGCCTTCCCCTCCCTCTCAATTTTCTCATTATTAATTCCGTATGTGCCTGGGACGTCATAGATTTGCCCCCTATTACGTCAGACAAACTATGTGAACTTTTAATATCTGTCTAGACTCTCTTGAATACAGGCGTGAGTATGTATTTGTGTATGTATGTTATTTCAGGTATTGTCAGCTGTTGTCTGACAATTGTAAACGTGATCTGTATATTCATAACGGCTATCTTATTTCTGAAGATAAAAGAGGTCGCCGCCCCTTACACTTCAAGTCCAGATTTGAGACGGTTCTGGGAACAAGACATTAAAGTAGCACGAGAGTCGAACCGAGCCAATTTACAAAAAGCAGAAGACGATGAACGCGCTGAGTAATAACATAACATATTACTTATTAGAAATATCTTTAAATGAAAAATAAGACTTAAAAAAGAATTACAGACTTAAGACAAACAACTTAGTAATACTGTGCTACTTAGGGCATACTGAAAGTTTCTGGTTTTTGATAAAAAGACTAGATATAAGACTTAAGATACATTCATTGTTTCCGTAAGTTATCCCCTCCGTAAGTTATTTATATTTCCTCGCAATTAGTGCATTTTTGCATTCTGTACTGTACAAAGCAGTTTGACCGGTCTTCCTTAGGGACCTCTTCAATGGTTTTATGAAACGCATTCACCGCCGATTCAGGGCTCATAAAAGGTGTGCCTCTAAGTTTGTCTTTAATTTTTGGAGACAAAAAGGATGTGGCATCAGTTCCACATTTGAAGCCTTCAAATAGGCTTCTGTTACCTTAGCGGAATGTGAGGATGCGTTATCGTGCTGAAGGAGGACAGTCTCTCAAATTAAAAAGTAACATATTCCCAAAGTTCCATTTTCGAAATTTCATAATTGTTTTTTCATTCTTTTATTGTTTTATTGTATGTGGCCAAATCAAAGGCTTTCAGTATGACCCGCGTACTAATACTGTGTAGGGCCGTCTGTCTATTGGCAAAGAGAGTTAGCACCTAGTTTTCTACTTTTACTACTTGGGTTTTATTAAACTTATGTTTGATTTACGTTCTAGTTTTGTAACAACATACCAATGATGAATTTATGCGACTTTTTGAGATTTAAATCTTGTATTCAGGTTGGTATTAGAAGACCTTAATCGGGACACAGACGAAACTTTAAAGGATAAGTTGGAAGCAGCTGTCGAGGAAGCGTTGGATGACGACACTTACAGAAAAGTTAAAAGAATGAGTTATCAGAGCCACATTGCCGATGAGGTAAGTACATGGCATTTATGCCGCCATTGTTGTAGTTAAATTTTTACTATAGCAATGGAGGAATAAATGTTTTTTAAATGGGGTAGTTGTTGGCAACCAGTGTGTGAGCAGAGGCTTTGACCGCTCAGAATACAGCGCACCTCTGGCATTCTTAGACGGTAATAACGATCGGAGACATCTGTCTAGGCGTCGCGTGCGTTGGCCAGAGCTCTGTTAAGTTTATCGCCAGACGTCTGACTGGGTTAGAATGGGTAGAAGCAGTCAGTAAAAAGACGGGCCGGTCGCCTTGAGACTTTGGCTTATTGGCCGCCCAGGCTGGAAGCTCCACGTTCTGCCTTTGCCGCGACTACTTCGAGATCATCATCAGAATGGTAGTTGCTTAACTACTATTCTGACATTCAATAAAGGCAAAATATATTTCCTTGAAACTTGTACTTACATAGGTACTTGAAACGTGTTTCATTATACAACTTATTTAATACTCGTGATTATGTTGAACATTAATCTTATCTCTTACACAACATGAATACATCACAGTTTTGCTTTTTATACATTTGGCTATTGGATAATTCGGGTGATATTATCAAGTGATGTGTGTGATGTGTATGAAATTATATAAAGACATATACGTCAGACGGTATGACCTTCACACATTCATTCGTTTCTGGGAAGTTAATTTATAATTATATTATAAAATATCAGTCACTAATTAGAAAAAGTTCAAAAGTTAACATTTTTATTTTGTGATTGATGGACAGAATAAAAAATGATATAATTATAAATAATAAATGTAGAACGGAAATGATAGATACCTACTAATTATGTTCCTTATTGGAGTTCCGAAGTCTTAACAAGGAACATAGGTTGGCTATCTCCTACATGTATTAGGTATGTTATGTTCTATCTCATAGTATTGGTACCATTAGATTAAAAATTAGGTCGTCGTAATACAATTTTTCATTAATATTTAAACTTAAGTAAATGTTAACCTTAAAAAAATTTAATAGTAGGTAGTAGCGGGGGGGGGGGGTTAGCAGCAGGCTAAGTAGGCTGGAGCCTAAGGCGACGAATTTGGCCCAACAACTTTTAGTCTTACAGAAATAAAAAAGAACATTATTCACATGGAGAAAAGAAGTCTCGAAAATTTAACAAAAATAACAATATTTTTCCGAATACTTCAAACTCAAACATCTTCATTTTATAAAAAAATAAAATTATTTTAAATCGTCTCTTGTGTATACTCTAAAGTCATCAATCACACAACACACACAATAGCGACAATCTTTGTTTTGTCAAATATTTAGCAAACTAAATATATACGTATCGAAAATCTCTTATTTGCCTGCCGATCTTCAACCGCCCATTTCAAAGGGGTTGAGCCTCATGAGGAAACAGGGCAAACAAACTCACGGCTAATAATGGCGTATGTAAGTTTTAGGTACTAAAGGCTAAAAAGGCAATAAAGAGAAAACAAGGTACAGAAAAAATATGAAACAAAAAAAAAGTGAATTAAAACATAAAAAAATGGAAAATTAACTAGGAGACACACTATCCCACATCACAGTTCCACTACCAAATAGCCTGTGCTAAATTGAGTAATAGGCTTAATTCACAATTGAGTAATAGGCTTTCTATCATAGTTTACGTTTTATTATTTACGCTACAACATCTGTATTTGAAAAATTACTAAACGCTTCATGAATATTTTAAAAATCCAAATTCACAAAGATATACGAGAATATGGATTTACAAAATATTTCAATAGTCGTTTAACATTACAATTTAAATTAGTAATTTTCGATGCTAAATCCTCGAATGTGGACGATATAGCAAGATTAGACAAAGTATTAACATCCCTACTTGGGCTTAAGGAAGCGAAACGAGGACGATCTTTTATATCTCATAGATGTAGTCCAAGAGCCAGCCGAATTCCAAAGATAGTGGAAGAAACTATACATGGACAAAGCAATTTAAAGTAGTAATTTTCGACGTTGACGTTCGCTCGAAGGTGACGAATTAGGTCCGAGTGAAAAGCACAGCGGCACAGCACAAAGGCTTAGTGCCTCTTCGGTCACAGTACTGAGGTGCAACACAGCACCGATCTTCAAGCGCTCCGCTGGAAAACTGAGTTGATGTCTGACAGATAAGAGCCCACCTCGCAGAGGTGCCGGACGATGCGGGCAGGGAGAACCTCTTAAATAATTTACCCGCCTCGTCCAGCAACAATGGGTTCGTAGACTGCGACCGAATCGGCAGGCTGTCCCAGCTACGTTAACAAAATCCAGCTGGCCGATTTTCCAGCACTCAGGGAAACGTCCGGACGCCAAGCTAGCGTCGGACACCACCCTAAAGGGGTCTGACATGACAACAATGAGGCCATCCGCAGGGGTTTATATTCCACTCGTTGTGGAAAAAGACTCTCAACCACTTCCTGCAGGGAGGTTGGGCAAGAGAGTCTCCGAAAGGGGGAGCCCGACGTGCGGAGCTTTTGTCATACCGCGCGATAAGGGCAGCCGACTGATCGAGACCCTCAAGTATCTCAATTCGGTTTTGACAATCCTTAACTAGGGTATTGAATTGAGGTTCCAGATGTCTTAATAAGAGCTGCTTCCTGATTCCTCCTATTTCAAGCACAGAGTTGCAAACCGTATGATTTTAATCGGTTCGATTCCGAAACATCATCCCGTCACAAATCCCTGTGGGATGACAGCCCTAGGGGATTACCACACGGAAAATAAAGAGTATTGAACTGCAGAGGTTAGTAGGGTCGGCAAAAATTTAATAGCTTACAGGTGGCAAATATGTAAATCCGCCGGATTTACATATTATACAGCAAAGTTAGAAGAAACAGTATACAGTAAACTAAGTTAACAAGTTTTAAAGTAATAATACTTGGCCCAACTTGTTCATTGAATTTATTTAAAAAAAACGACTTGTTATTATTACTTGCTTGCTTGCTTGCTTAAAACGGGTAGTAACGGCAGGATTGGCCTGTGTGCTTGGCCCCTAGTAGTGAGTGATACCGACTGACTATTAAGCCAGAGTTCGTGAATTCAGTTCCCACGTTCCACAATATATATGTATATAGAAATACTCGTATATAAGTATATTTATCAGCAGTCTGGTTACACACACAGCACAGACTGCATAATTTAGAATCAGGCTGCCGCGTGTAAGGTGTATTGATTTGTTGTTACAATAGGGAATATGCACGTGACACCAAAATGGACAAAATATTTTTATTTGTAATTGTTATTGCTAAAAGAAGATACCCATACAATTATTTTTGAAATTTATTATAATTTAATAGTGAAATTTAAGCATCAAAAATTGGCTTTTTTAAGATTACCTCGCAAATTTCTAAAACGCAACGCTATTGGTTGAATAAAACGTGACGTCAACCTACACTGTCAAGAGTGTCAACAAGTTGTGTGTATTTGTAATATTTGGTTTCTGGTGATTATTTGTTTCATTTTAAGTTAATAACTAATACGTTTTCAGTGTTAAATTATTAAATTCCCGTGTAGAAAGACTCAACACAATGACTGAATATACTTTGTCAGGTGCAGTTTTGATATTATTTTGGCACAAAGGAACGGCACAATATTTATAATAAGTTTTTATTGGCTTTTCCATGGTAATAAGTTAATTTATGTCACTCACTTTTTTAACTTTCACAAACTTTGTGAACTTCACTCTGTTGTTGACATCGAATTCGTCTGAAAGTGTAGTCTGACGTCACAAAAAAGCGCGCCAAAATGGACGTGTTCAAATTGCCCCAAAATCATAGTGATATTAATAAATTTTTTTTTGCTTAACGGTTTATATTTCGGATGTGTTATATTTATTTTTGGTAATGTAATAACGAGTAGAATCGTTTAAAAAAATTAAAAAAATACATGCATATTCCCTATTATGAACAGGTGGATTAGTTGTTTACTGTTAGACTCAATCTGAATAACTGCTACTCTACCTATTTTTTTTGCAGGTAATGCACTCAATCGGACTTTCAAGAACACCAGTATCTGTACGATCCAGTCAGATAAACTCTGGCGTAAATACACCAACATATCCTAAATCCTCGAATGTGGACGATATAGCACGATTAGACAAAGTATTAACATCCCTACTTGGGCTTAAGGAAGCGAAACGAGGACGGTCTTTTATATCTCATAGATGTAGTCCAAGAGCCAGCCGAATTCCAAAGATAGTGGAAGAAACTATACATGGACAAAGCAGACGGTCGGAGTCTTGGCCTGAAAGAATATTTGAGGATTCTGTCGTTCGCAGCGTCATCAGTAACTTGAGAGACAGCAAACGAAAATCCCAGCTTGAAGAACCGTTCTTAACACCAAACTAATTAAGAAATCCAAACAATAAACTACAAACAATACAAAGCTTTGTTAATTCATTTCATCATCATTCATTCATTACGTTTTAACCCAATAATTTATTCCATTAGTAAAATGCGTATGTTTGGAGCACTCCTAAACAAATTTTCTTTGCAGTGCTTCATCAATTAGATGAAATAAATGTATTAGAATAATAGGTACTATTATATATTATGTAGTTAAGCTCTGATAAATAAAATCTTTTACTTATGTACCTTTACATATCCTATTAATTCCTTAAATACAAAAGTAATATAATGTTCCTATCCTAAATACACACCAATGGTATATAAGTACCTACCATTATTTCTTGAATTTTCAAATTGCCTTGACCACATTTGCAATACAATTTTAGACTTTTAGTAGCTTTTTATTAAGTAATTGGCCCTTTTTTCTGTATGAAATCCCCTCGGATTTACCGGTGGCAATTTCGGACTCGAACCGACTAAAACCGCACGCCGTCTCAGGTAAAAGTAGTCGGGGAACCAGGAAATCCCTGGTGCCCCGACGTACCTCGGGCCATCTACGGCGGGTAGACGACCCCCCTGTGTGAGAACCTCCCATGTTCCCTCTGTGCTCCCGGAAGGGATCGCGCGCTTCGCAACGCGCTTGCCGCCACCCCGGCCTGCTTCTGCTAGGGTGACAGATGGCCTCACCTGTCACCCCCAGGCCTGCGCTTATGGAGGACGGAGGTCGTTCTGCGACCTCCGGCGCCTGAGTCGTCTGCGATACCTGGCCAGTTCCTGAGCTTGGCGGGCCGAGAGAGTTCTAAACCTCTCTCGGTCCCGCTCCGCCATCTCTTTCGCAAGCATAACTTGCTCGCAGAAGGAGACGGCAGAGTTCCACGCACTCTCGCTCCGCACAATAATCAGGTTATCGAGCGAGAGAACTCCCACTCCGATCGCCGCCACGAGGTCTCGCCTCTGCTCCACCCACGCCGGACATTTTGCCAGCGTGTGGAGCGCCGTGTTCACGGTCCGACCATCGCAGTGGTGGCACTCAGGCGTTGGCTCCTTGCGGATCAGACACAACTGATCCTCGAAACATCCTTTCCCAAAGATCACCTGCATCAGTCGGTATGAGAGGGTCACGTGATGCCTCTCGAGCCAATCCTCCATAACGAGTCTTACCGCCGCGATGACGGCGTGCCCGAAGTTATTGCCCCTAAGGTTATGTATCTAATACTTGCCCTAATAACTTTATCAGCTGGCTGATACACCTCCTTGGCCAGAAACGACGGAAATCACATTGATGTTGTTCGACTGTTCTACAGATCCGTTCCAAGAACATCGCCCCCGGACCAGATGCGATACCTGCCCGAGTGCTGGCTCAAGCCCTTCGAGAACTACGTCAGACCCCCTTAGAGGTCTTGTTAACAATGCCGGGACAGCCTGTCAATTCGGTCGCAGCCACAAGCCCATTTTTGCTGGATGAGGCTGGTAAATTATTTGTAAGGGCTTTCTCCGGCCGCATTGTCCAGCACCTCTGCAAGGCCCTATCTGTCAGACGTCCAATTCGGTTGTCGTTTGACGATCTGCGCTGTTTTACGCATCAGGATCGTCACCGAAAAGGCAGTGAGCCGTAGCGGCGTGCTGTTGGCGGTGTCGTTGGACATCATTAACGAATATAATAGACTGCCATTCAGCTACATCAGGGAGGCACTCTACTATCACGGGCTATCAGAGTACCTGAGGTGGCTAATGACAGACTATTGAGAAGAACGTACGGTCATGCATGAAGATCAAGATGGATATGGGAGACGCCGGGCCCATGACGTGCAGTGTTCCACAAGGGTCTCTGGTGGCCGGACGCGTATTTTTTTTACTCCCGCACTGGGAATATATGCCTGACACAGAACACCCAGACTCAGAAAAACGATTTGTGGTTCACACGGTGTTGTCCTACGTGAGGATCGAACCCACAACACTCAGCGAGGTAGGGAGCGGCGAGGTGACCGCTTAAACCACAAGACTTACAGGTGGCCCTGTATGGGACGGAGGCCCTCTTATTTCATAGCCCGCTCGTAGTCCACACCACTGACGCCCTCAGAAGATATAATTGAGGGTAACAGCCATACGCTGTTGCCGCACCGTGTCTTCACAGGCGGCGTGAGCGTTTGCTGGAACACCCCCGTGGGATTTAGTAGCGGAAGTATATCGGCGGACGGGTACTGAATCTCGGACAAGAAGCGGTAGTCGGCCCCCGTCCGAAGAAGTACGCGAGTGGCTTGAGGTCGCTCGCCGAGCCATGATGACTGTGGCGACTTCCACATACGATGAAACAAAGAAACATACTACAGCGCCATCTAACGAAGACATACCCAACTAAGGAGTAACTCCTAAATGGGAATTGCTAATCCTGTATCACGATATGAAGAATTCTCTCGCCGATTAGCAAATATACAACTTCCCAACATCAACCTTAAATTTGCAGCTTGCTGATAAAACCGCCTCTAGTAATACCGTGTAATACCAAGGGAAGAGTAATGAAACACCTCGGTTGCTTCCATGTGGAAGAAGGGGTTTATTAAACATTTCAGCTACTATTTTTATACTAAATAAATAAAATGGTACATTTTGGCGCCTTTGACGTAGCTACTGGTTCCCACCCACAAACAAAATGTTTCGACCACTCACGAAGCTAATGTTTTCAACGCGCCAAGTCTTCAGCCAATCGCGTATTTACTTTCCGTTCAAGGGCTCCGACCAATCACATTACGCTTCGTGTGATGATTTCCCGCACAAACTGATAATTATAATTTACTAGCTGACCCGCGCAACTTCGTCTGCGTCTCTGAATAGTAATAAATTTTCCCCGTTTTTGAAACATTCTTTATTGGTGCTCCGCTCCTATTGGCCTTAGCGTGATGATATATAGCCTATAGCCTTCCTCGATAAATGGGCTATCTAACACTGAAAGAATTTTTCAAATCGGACCAGTAGTTCCTGAGATTAGCGCGTTCAAACAAACAAACAAACAAAGAAACTCTTCAGCTTTATAATATTAGTATAGATTAGCTATACTACATAAGGTCGCAAACTAAATGAGTTGGAGATTCAACTTCTCTCGGTTTCTCCAAAAGAAAATAAATAAAATGATATTTTAAGGAAGATACGTTACTTTCATACTACATGCACAAATTATTTGCTAAGTAGTACTATACATACCTACATCTGTTAATGCATTATAGAACAAAACACGCTACGCACGCAAGTGCGATTGGAAATAGGTAATGTCTTTGATTTTCTATCTCTTTCATGAATCGGCAACAAGCTGATTTATTATTATTTGATAATTAATTACAGATTAAATGGAACTATGATCTACTATGAAGTTTTATACACTAACCTGTGATATGATATTCCTTCCTTTTTCTTTATTTACTTTTCTGTTGTAATTTGTGCACTTTCGGAATTCACAGAAATGCATTGTATTAACTTTTCCGAGGTGATAGGCACGCGCGCTCGCAATGATAGGTTACGATTGATATACTAAACTGAATGCAGTGGTCCTAAATAGGACCAATTAACAGCACGCGTTTTGTGCATTTGGTAGCTTATCTACCTCTAGTTTGTGTATGATATTGTTGGTCAGATACTAATAAATTCCACAAAAAAAATGCATACAAAACATTTTATTAAATACGTCATCCAAACAGGTTCAAAGAACAATAAACATATATAATTCAATAAATACATAATCATGTAAATACTGTTTTGTACATGGTAAAATAGTTTATCACAGCAAAGCTTATTTACTTTAATTTAAGAAAACATGTATTTTTACAGACATTTGAATATAACAATTTTGAACCTATTTACAAAGATGTCTTCATCAAGATGCTTTAATAACAGTTTTTGAATCTATAGGTAGTGTTTTTAAAGATTTATTATTCTTCACTCGAGAAGTATAAACATCATACCCTAGTGAAATAGTGTTGTCGTACAATACTCTGAATCTAGTTGGTAGAAAGTAAAAATTTATAACTTGAGCAGGTGGCCATACCAACCACTCTGCCTGATACAACAGTATGAATTTGTGCCTAACCTCCTCTTTAAAATTATCCAAAGGCTTCTCTTCAAATAATGCTATACTTCCAAAGAAAGTTACTAACATAATAGGTGAAAATATTAATTGGTCTAACATCAATTTCTTTATTACCATATCTACAGTTTTTCCTACAATCATCTTATCTAAAATTTTGTACCAATTATGACATAGAACACCCACTGCTGCGCCAGAGAATGCCATATGCAAAGTCCTTTTCCCATTAAAACCACTTTCATGTCCTGTATATCTTTCATAGGCCTGTTCTATCGAATCTCCTAAGGCCGATAAGCTCACTGATATGGTCACATTTGTATATAACAAAAACTTGTCACTGAATGCCACTTTTACAATGTTTTTGCTCTTTGAAACAGTAGAAGAAATTTTCGATTTCACTGCTATATTCTTCAGAGTTACCCTTAGAGCTTGCATTTTATCTGTAACAAACCAAATAACAGTAAATAATATATATATTGCATTCAGAAGTCACAAAATAATGAACACTTAAATATGATTACCAATTAAATGAGTCATATCTATGAAAATTGTGGCAACAGTTTGATCATTTTTCAGTATTATCCAGTTTAGCATGCTTAATATGGGAAGCATAAATATCATAACCAAGAGATATTGTACTGTCATACAACACTCTATATTGTGTTGGTAAAAAATAGAAGTTTATTATTTGGGCAGGCGGCCATACCACCCATTCTGCTTTATATAAAATCCAAAACTTTTGTGAGACTTCATCAGTAAAGTTTCCTATTGGATCATCTTCAAAGAGGGCAACAGTGGCAAAAAATGATAATAATAATACAGGTGAACATACAAACTGATCTAGAAACAATTTTTTCAGAACCATTCCAACAGTTTTGCCAACTATAAATCTATCTAAGAAATTATACCAATGATGGCATAAAATTCCAGCAGTCACTCCACTTATTCCCATTTGTCCTGTACGATTAAAATCATAACTTTCAATTTCATTTGTATAATATTCATAAGTCTGTTCTGATAAATCACCCGCCACTGATATTCCCATTGATATTAATATATTTGTGTATATGAGATTCTTGCGATTGAAAGCATCATCTACTGCTTGTCTGTATGTCCTGTAACTTTTGGAAAAAATTCTTCTGATCACCATAACAACTCACTAAATAACACCTAAAACAAAAAGGTAACATCGTCTCAGACTGAGACTGATAGTGAGTTTGAGTCAACATCTAATGACAATGAGTATATGGATGATTGACTATGGTCTAAAAATCTGTATACATGATATTGTTTTTAGGTATTCTATGCTGTCCCATACCAAGCATTCTATCATTACGAAATTTTTATACTACTTGCCAGGGATATAGTGGAAGATGTAGAATGATGGAATGATCACTTTTATGTAATTTAATTTTAGAATACGTTATATGTCATAAATTCTGTAGGTTTCTGCATAAAACTAACAAAACCTACGTTAAGCCTATTCAATACATAATAATAATAAATTAATATTCTACTAATTACATCACTAATGTAAACATCTGTAGAATAGTTATTTTTAAAATGTAAACAAAAAAATTTGTCTACAACTAACAATTATTCTTACCTTATATAATTTTTTTAAATATTAGCTAAAATTATTATGTAACATTCGTAACGCAAAAATAATACTTTAGGAATTTGAGGCTATTAAATAACCTCAAATTTCTATAGAATTAATTTTTTACGTCAAACCCTGCTCGCTCATATGACTACCATACACAGACTAAGAAGAGATATGTACAATGTACATAGTACCACCATCCCCGTACTGACAAGCAGTGTTGCCAACGGTTAAATGAAATCTCCACCAGAATCAACATCTAAAACCACTAGAAAATCAGTAACGTAAAACGACCCTACTCTAATAGTCACTAAATTTTCCAGTAAACATTTTTTTTGGATTACGAAAGAAAATCATTATTAACTAGTTTCCTTTATTAAAATTTAATACTGATACTAATCGTTTTTGTCACCACCATAATCGGTTCCAGATTAATACGATTCTTTAGTACTGATTTGTTTTACAATATTTACTGGAATTTCATATTTGTTGCACCCTTCTCCTTCCAACTTCAAACCACAGCGTAATACTAAAGGTCGCTAAGTCCTCAAATGTAAAAGTCCCTTACCCCTTTTTTTATTTATTTTTCTGTATGGTAGTCCCCTCGGATACCTACCCCTATGTTCTGCACAGCGCATCTCACCGCGACCCCGGCCTGCTTCTGCTAGGGTGACAGATGGCCTCACCCCCAGACCTGCGCTTATGGAGGACGGAGGTCGTTCTCCGACCTCCAGCACGAGTCGTCTGCGATACCTTGTTCTAAACCTCTTTTCGTCCTCCTCCGCCATCTCCTTCGCTAGCATAACTTGCTCGCGAAAGAAGAGAAGAAGAAGAAGTCATCTTTAAAAAGCAACACCTTTAGTATGTGGAAGTTCCTTAACACGTTGGGCATTGGTAAAAAACAACGGACCGAGGTTCATTGGTTCAATTATATCAATATTTATTTCTCTTCTGCTAAACCGAATCATTAAACAATGAATTTTCTCCTGTGCCTTCTGGGAACATCTTTGTCGGTTGTAACGCAATGTTTTGCAAGCCGCAGGAATGATAGTTAAGATCCTGGATTACGTCCTCGAAGTTATAGCCGACATTATTGACCTAATGCCGAAACCTTTTCCTCTCTCTTGCACGAGGCCTACATCATTCCATTGCCTAAAATTAAAAATTCTTCTCTTCCTTTCCTATCCTTCCTTTCCTATCAAACGTTCTTGAGGTATTCTAGGAACTGTTTCACACACACAAACAGTTCTCATAGTTCATCTTTCCTAAGTTTTCTACAATCTGAATATTACTACCAAACCACTACAAAAATCCACTAGCCAATAAAAGCAAAATTTCGCCACCAAAAGGTTGGTCAAAACCACCTGTTTTATTTGAAAATCTACTAAGTTGCCAACACTGCTGGCAAGCCAAGTCTGACATCTAACACTACTCTGACAGCACTCCTTCTTCAGTCAGATCATGTCCTGTCAAATAAATTCAGCATTTCAGCCAGTTTGTACGGTTTAGTACAAATAGTCCGATGTGTGAATGTTGCAAAGTTCTCCGCGACACAGGTATCATTCCTAATGATTTTTATTTTATTTACTATAACTAATAAAACAAATATTACTCTAACCTAAAATTGTCATGCGGCGCAGTTTTGGTAGCACGGATCGGGAAAAGCTATGTGCAGATGTTAGAAGCATCGACTGGCAACCTCTGTTATCTTCTGAGTGTATTGACACAAAAGTGAACATTTAAAATGAAAACTTAATCAATATATTGGATATTCATGCACCTCTTCGTAGTGTTAAACTAAAGCATTTGCCAGCTCCATGGCTCACCGATGAAATACGATCCATCATGTCGAAAAAGGTAGCGGCAAAGACGAGATACAAGCGTCGACCTTCTCAAACTAACTTCGACAAATATATGACTATAAGAAATCACTGCAAGGTGTGTAGAGAAGCGCAACGACAACACATCCATAAATATGTTGAAAAAAACGATCTGATGAGGATCTGGAAATTTCTGAAAACATTAGGAGTTGGAAAATCGAACCTAAACCCTATTTCTAAAGACTTAAATCTTGATTCACTTAACAAGCATTTCTCCTCCTCGTCTGATTTTGATGACACAACAAAAGCCAAAACTTTAAAATATCTTTCATCTATTCAAACCCCTAACTACTCTCCCTTCATTTTTAATCAATTGGCAGTTTGTGATGTTAGGAAGAGCATACTTTTTTCAATCTCATGTAATGCGGTGGGAAGCGACTGCTTCAGTAAAAAAATGAATGCCCCATCCTTGATGACATACTTCCTGTCCTATGTAACATTTTCAACCATTCCTTATCCTACGGCGTCTTTCCATCTGCATGGAAAGCAGCTGAAATTATTCCTTTGCCAAAAAAATCGAAACCTTCGTTCTTCTCAGACTATCGCCCTATATCTATCTTACCATTCCTTTCTAAAGTTCTTGAACGTCTTGTTTATAATCAACTCAACAAGTTTATGTTAAGTAACAATCTCCTAAATCCCTTTCAGTCTGGCTTCCGTGCAGGACACAGTACAGTGTCAGCATTAGTCCACATCACAGATGATATTAGAGGAAATATGGACAGTGGAAACGTATTGTTATTATCCTTACTCGACTTCAGTAACGCATTTAATACCATCGATTTCCATATTCTCCTTGGTATTCTTCGCTCTCTTAACATATCTCCAGGGGCAATTGATTGGTTTCACAATTACCTGTCAGCATCGCATTCGACTTGAAGACTTCCTCTCTTCATGGTGTAATCCAACTGTCGGTGTCCTACAGGGTGGCATTCTATCTCTATTACTCTTTGCAATTTTTATTAATTCTATTTCCAATCATTTACTTTCATCCTACCACCTGTACGCTGATGATTTACAGATATACACCCATGCACCTGTCAGTATGTTATCGACTGCGCTTATTATTATTAATGCAGATCTAGAGCACATAAGTGCTTGGAGTAACGACTATGGACTCAAAATTACAGGTGTGCATCATTGGGAGTCCCATAATGTCTGCTAAAATTAATCGGTCACATTTGCCTCCAGTTCAATTTAACAATACCATCATGCCGATCAATCTTGGGAGTTATAATCGATAGCACCTTATCATGGGGACCTCAGATTCAGGAGTAGAGCCGTAAAGTCTTCGCTGCAGTGGATTTTTTTGCGAAGGTTACGAAACTTTCTTTCGACTGCTACAAAAACTGCACTTGCTCAAACGCTCCATCTTCCGATTCTTGACTATGCCGACGTTAGCTATCTCGATCTCACCGAAGCACATCTTGATAAACTTGAGCGTCTCCAAAATTTTTGTATACGATTCATATTTGGACTTCGCCAATATGATCATGTTTCCCACTACCGTAAAAAGCTCAGTTGGCTTCCGATCCGCTTACGGCTTACGCTTCTGTATAATATACTATTTAATCCATTAACTCCTATTTACTTCAAAGAACGCTTTAAGTTCCTTCATGACACACATATGAAATGTCTGAGGTCCTCTGAAAGCCTGAGATTGGAAATACCAAGGTATTTTACCAATTTCTACACAAAATCATTTTACTTAGAAGCTGTACGTTTATGGAATGCCTTGCCGGTTACTATCAGACGTGCGCAATCCGTAACCACCTTCAAGACTATGCTATATGAGCATTATCTGTCTCTAATAGTTGAAAATTAGCGTATGTATATATTAACGTATGTATGTATAGTAGGTATTCATGTATAAATATAGATTAATAGTATTCATGCATAAAAAATATTTCATAGGTATACCTATCACCAGTTCAAAATGAATCCATCCAAAGGTTGCCTGCAATAAATTGAACTAAGCGATAAGGCCGCCCTTTGTACATTACATCTGTTGTTAATTACTGTATAAAGTTTGTAAAACCCTGGTGTACAAATAAAGTATTTATCTATCTATTATATACTCAAGACTAGTCTTAAGCGTTGTGCGAAGACTGACGGGTTGCTAGTTCAGTGCAAAAGTAACCTTCAGCAGTAAATTTGAAGGCGGTGGTATATCGGGGGACAGCCGAAGGGCGAGTAGCGGCAGTTGGCCCCCGCCCGAAGTGGTACGAGAGTGGAGTGAGGGCGCTCGCCGAGCTACGCTGACCCGTTGAAGTCTCCACGTGCTTTGCTACCGTGGAGACGCTGCAGCCTGTCATCGTTGAGTAGGGCGTTAGCACGGGATCCTTTACTTCCGACTGATGCAGGTCCTTTCAGCGCACGGCTGCTTCGGGAAATACTTGTACTCGAGTGAAGTGAATCGAGTATTTTGTCGCCTGGGCAATTTGCTCAGCTCAGATCCTCATTGCATTCATCAAAGAGGATGTCTCACTGCCAGCCGTAATACGTGCCATGGCCGGTAGCGACAGATGTTTCATCGCTGTCGAAAATGTAATCGCGTGAAAGATTTTGGAAGATTTTTACTGGGAACTTATTCGTCGTCGGTGAATCTGGTGGCGGAGGCGCGTATTCCAAAGCCTGAGTGATGATAAGTAAAATACTTAGTCAAAATTACTAATTTAAATTTTAATGTTAAAACATTGGAATATTTTTTAAATCCATATTCACAAAGGTATATTTAACGAAGCGTTTAGTAATTTTTCAAAATCAGATGTTGAAGTATTCAGTAAAATATTATTTTTTTGTAAAATTTATGAGACTTCTATTCTCCGTATATATATATTAGTTTTTGTTATTTCCGTAAGACAAAAAAATATCTGACGAAAACAAATTAATTCAAAATAAGTAATTTTTTTTGCTGCTGTTCTTGATTTGTTAATTTACTACTTGTATGTTGATTTATTCAATGTTAGCATTAGTATTACGTAATAAAAGGAAACTAACTTATTATATTTTATTTTATAAACAATAAGGATTGTATGTATTGTATAGTTTTTATTCGTAATAACCGTAATAAAATATGTTTAGTGGATGGAGCTACTATTGGAGTAGGGACATTTTTTGTTAGTGGTTTTCTGGTGGTTTTAGATTTTGAATCTGGTCATCTGGCATCTGGTGGAGAGCTAATTTAACTGTTGACAACACTGCTTCGGCCCCAACCCGCAACTGACAGACAGCTATCAATTTTCATCGGTACTGTAAGATCTGTGACTGTCAGTATTGGGCATTGGCATTAATTTGTGTTTTGTGATTGTATGTGTATGTAAAAAATTGAAAGATAGTTGTGACTTTGTCATCTAAAAACTTATAGTAATCTATACACAATGGCAGGTAAATGAAACTTTATAATCAATTTCAAACATCAAAACTCGCGAATTCTGTAATCAAACATTCAACACAAAAAGTCGCATCTGCTAATGCGGCATTGATATAGAAGTCTTCGTTTACCGCATAAAGCACATTACATTAATTAATTATAATCTGTACACCATAATCGTATGTGACGAACCTGAAAAAATTACATTATTAAAAATAATTTCAGATAAATTAACCTTAGACAGACATGCTATGAAAGACCGGTCTACGTCCCATCTGCGAATTTACGTTGGCTCCCTACCTGATAGCGCTACTGTGGACGATATTTACGAGCACTTTATACAATTCGGAGAAATTAATGGGATTGTCATCAACAGAAACTTTGGATTTGTACAATTTGCTGAAGAGTCGAGTGCACGCGAAGCTATTGCTAAAGGAAACCGAAGCTCTTTCCAAGGAAACCAAATTATTGTAAAAACTGCTCAGACAAATTCTGATAAAAGGTAATTGTAAATATAAAGTTTAAGTGGCACACAAACCACTTAGGTAACTGCTGAATAGTAAAAATATAGCAAACATTTCTACTATTTCAAGTATTATGTTGCTCTTGAATAAGATTGATTGAGTTTTACTTACATGAAATGCTAATAATTAGTTTATTTATTCTACATCTTCATGCACTTATGTACATTGGCAGACTTAATACCCTGGGCATTCTCTACCAACCTTTAGGCGGTGTAGAAATCTTGTTTAGAAGTTCATTTCTAAATAAAAACTGTATGACTGAGAGGAGACCTTTGATTTTTGAAAAAGATTACATTAGAGCTGCTTTTTCTATTAAATCCATCTGGTATAAACATAAAATACTTTTTTTAGATGTTTTTTAAGTCTCAATACTGTCTCTTTGATAGCTGCTGGCTACCTAATTGGCTGACACTTAATACACAGTTCTCACTGTAAAAATAGTATGAGTTTTCAAAGACATTCTTATTTATTTAGAAGACCTCTATTTATATTAGTTTTGAATACTGAATCTGGATTCAATATTCGAAACTAACAATGAGCACCCTACAAAAAATTACTGATGTTTTTTAAATTCAAATTAGATCTTTCTGTTGACCGGTGGACATCTTTACTTTATTGATAATTAAAATTTAAATTTCCAATTGTCATGAGATGCAATGTTTGGATACTTAGCATGCTTTAATTCCATGCTTCCACAATTTCTTAGATAAGCTATTACCCCAATATCACATAGTTTTAACCATTTATAAATAATTTTAATTTATAATTGACTTTTGTCCATATTAATTGCTATGTGTGTATTAGCATAAACTAAGTTGTAACATGTTAATATTAGTAACTCCTCCATTATATTAGTGCTAGAACTTTTTGTAACTAGCATAATTAAAGGACCTCCAATTATGTAACTAAACTAAACCTTGCTATGGGCTAAAATCACCTTTTTATTATTATGAAAGAGTCCATTGGATTTTAGATATACAGTTAAAACCGTTTATGACAACATTGTTTAGAACAACATACTGGTTATATTGACCAAAATCAAATGTTGAATTTTATATGACGGCCTTATTAAAAACATTGCTTTTAAGCATGTTACAATATTCCTCATTAAGCAACTACATTTAACTAATATCTGCAAAGAATTATATCTGTTAAAATTACCAGCCGTGTTGTAAACAATTTGAATAGGTAACAGTGCCCAGATCTGGGGCAAAGTATTGTTTTTTTTTTATTTTATTTTTTATTTATATATGACACACTATACAACTATTTTTACAGGTTTTGTACCTAATACAATAGTGTAGCTATTCGTTGTTAAAAACATGTGTACTCATAGTAGTAAATAACACTTATTTTATAAACAAATTTAGCAACCTCATTCATCACTACAGCGGGACACACAGTCACACTCATATACTTCCAATCACACACATCACAGACAAACCACTCCCAGACACGGCACATACTGACCCGCCTATCACACAACCACTCGTCCCGGGCGGGAATCGAACCCTGATCTCCGGCCCACTAGGCCGAAAAGCCTCGCATATTACAGGTTCATGTTATAGCAAATAGCATTCAACTCTACTCTTGTGAATTCACTTAGAGCACAACAGAATGTCTATCTCGCTGGCTATAAGGTTCAATGTGCGAAGTGCGCGCGTCAGTGGCGCCTGGCTTAAAAGATTAATACTTGCATTATGTACTTTCCCCCTAACTATTTTGATGATATATGTGGCGAGTGCGAGTTCCCTTCTAGCACTCAGAGTGTTCAATGGTCAATGGCTAATTAGATCGCAAAAGTAAACAAAAACGTGTCCAGTTAAGGGTCTTGTAATTCTTAGAAACAAGACTCCATGTGTATGCAGTATAATGAAAGCCTACTTCTTCATATCTCTTCAGTCAGTTTGTTATGTATCTGTACACAAGAGGCACCAAAACATATTGTCTAGTTATTTGTGAAACTTTTAACTTGTCGCAAAGAAAAAACTAAAACAAATTATCGAGGAAAAATCGCGTATTATATCAAACCTAGAGAGCGGAATTCCAAACAAAGCCTTGGCAAAAGAATATGGTGTATCACACACGGCAATTTCAAACATTTGGAAAGAGAGGGAAAAAATTAAAACCCTTTATGACAGCTAAATGGTCTCAATACTGTTAGTGTATTACGAAAGATTGATCTTTTTAGTGAACAGTTTCACATGCAGGAAATTATGACGATACGCTAATTAAAATAAATAATTAAATAAATTACAAAAGGACAAGAAGTGTTCATAATAGACTAAAATTGCAAATTTTATGAATACAGAAAAATTATAATTCATATTTTATGTGATTTATACATAAATTTATATATATTTAAATAGTAGGCCAAAACCTCCTTCCTAAGGAGAGGCCTATGTCCAGCAGTGGACTAGTAAAGGCTGTTGATGATGATGATGATGATACATAAATTTATTTTTGCTATTAATATCTATGGATTTTTATGTACCCACAAATTCAATAATACCACTTCATAAAAAAATACCTTGTACCTCGAAAACATCACCGGCTGTTACGACTATCGGTTTTTACAACCAAATATGATTGTCCTTTCGATGTTGTTATAACAGATTTTGACTATATTTTGCGGTATCATAATTTTTCTGAAAAATGGAAGCAGGGAATTGTTACAAGCACATCAAACAAAATAATGCAAAATTAGAAACATTTGTTTTTGTTTGCCATATACAATTGAAATGTTAAATGTAAAAAAATCTTTGAATCCCTTTTTAAGCACTTGGAGAATTGTGAATGTCTTACTTAATGTTTATACTACTAGAACACCATGATTAACAACAGTTGATTTGTCTGGCAATAGGACATCATATGGAACTGTTTTTAGCTTTTTGATAAGAAACTAGAACTTAAATGATTATCACTACAACTGCACTAAAACAGGATATTCTAATATAAATAAAAGCATTCTTTAGTTTTTCTAGCAGACACACAGAAGGGGGGAATGTTGCACCTACTTTGCCCCCTGCAGGGGCAATCAATGATAACAAGTTACAAAATGAAGAAGGTGCAGAGGATCCCTATGATAAATTTGGCAACTATATTGCAGATCAAAGTGAGTTATTAAATAGTTTACTTGTTCTATAAAAAACTAATGAATATCATGAAGAAGCCCTTCTCGCTTCTTCAATAAAGTTGGTTAAGTGACGCGCCATGTAATGCAGTAGTCAGGTAACATCCTTCTACCATGCTGAAGAGGGTTTACCTTGATAGTCATTAAGGTGTGTTCTTGGTAACGCCTTTGTAGGATTATCACTGTGTTCAGTTTAGTTTTCTTACAGAGTTGTTCCATCTTTCTGTTACTTTAATGAGTTAGAAGGACACAAGGATTAGTAATAAGAATAGTCATTTGTTGTTAGGTTATGGAGAGGAAGAGCATGAAGAGGGTTACACAGGACATTGGCCAGAGGGGGGACGAGGAAGTATGCGTGGTCGTGGTGCACCCAGAGCGCGAGGCCGTGGTAGTAGGGGACGTGGTGGTCCACCAGGATTTAGAGACCGATCACCACTTGGTAGAGGTGAGTTAATTAATTTCACAAGGAGGCAGATCTACTGTATAAAAGTCTAGAGTTCTATTGTATTTTACTCAATACTATCTTCAGGACAGAACAAAAAAAAAATTTATGAAACGATAACGTCGAGTGATTGTTCACTGAATGGAAAATGTAAATGTTATAGTATCTTCACGTGTATAACATCCTTTGACCATTCCACCTATCTGTGAGCTGTCAGATTATTTGTGAAGATTCCAACAGTACATAACCCTCTATGCCTAACAGTCACATCAAAGTCGATATCAGCCAAATGTAATCGCTGACAACCTATGGCCAAGATTTCACAGACGCAAATGCTACGTCACTTTTTTTTTTTTTGACAGTGAGAGTCATCCTGTAATTCTTTGTCCAGTGTGACCTTAAACAAAAAACACATGTGCTTTACCTTACACAAGGTGTACACAAACAACTTGTGGCATCAAACATCTCACTAAAGAAGGGAAGACTGATTTAATGCCTAATGGACTGTTTCTTTTTGTTGAATTTTAATACTAATCTTCTCTATAAGTAGGCGGTGAGTGGTCGGAGCGTGGTGGCTACGACCGATATTCACAACAAGTGCAAGAATATCCCAGGGCATTGCCAGTCACAGAGAGAAATGACTGTGAAATTATTGTGGTCTCAAAGAGCCTCACGTAAGTATATTTACAGTGTTCCTTTTTATTTGACTAGTTTAAAAGCTTAAATTAGTTTACTGCTAAGAGCAACGTTAAACAGTAAACAAAGCTGAGATTTTAATCCCTGTTTACTTTAACAACTTCAACTTTGATTGACTTTCTTTGGCAGTCGTCATCGTGTACTTTATGCAAAAGTGTGGTAGAACCCAAAAATAGTTTATACAAATATAAAAATAGTTATCTAACGTACGCACTCTTAATGAAAAACAAGTGGACTATAAAATTATGAATAATATATTGTAGAGAATAAAAGATCCCATCGCCAGTGGGAAGATTCGAGTCCCGCGTTTTTGCCCTGTCGATCTCTCCTCGGCGTCCCTTGTCCGTCCGTCGTTACTTATTATTGTAATGTAACTGTTAATCAAGATCTTGTTTATTTGTTAGATACATTCGTTTGGCAAATATTTAAATGAGTGAAATGGAAATGGCTCTTTGTATGGAAAACGCTAAAGGACTAGACCGATTTCATAGATGATACCCGCTGTAAAAGCCGCGGGCAGTAGCTAGTAAGGTATATGGCATATCTTGAGAAGAGTAGTTAATCAAGATCTGAAAACTAAACCATTATATATTTGATCCTGTTGTTACAGAGAGTATGCAGAATATATAGAAGGGCGTTTGAAACGGCTAGGGATTGTTGTAGATCTCCTATTTCCAATGGAAGATGTACCCATTGGCAAAGTCCTCGGCAACATCGCATCTCGTGGTTGTCTTTACGGGATTTTAGTCATGCCACAAAACCAAGAGAATAGATCTATGACGCTTACAATACTGCATGGATTGCCTCAAGGTAAGACACTATAAATATTCACAGATGTTAGACAGAATAAACTAGTTGACTCAATTTGAAAACTTGGTTAATTATATTTTACTTACCTTACTTTTATTATTTATTTTATCCCAAAAAACCTATATTTTAAAGAAAAAGCAATATTTACATTACGTATTTTGTATTAAAAAAAAAACAATTTAAATTTTACTTGAAAACGCTGAATAGTGTCATAGCGTCTTGAATGACGTCACAGTCTGCGAAACAAAACTGTTTCCATCTGTGTCCAGTGTCAACTGAATCTGTATTAAGGTGAGAAAATATGCTAAAATCGAAAAACAATAAGGAGTAACCTGCTCTGTTGTACGAAAACGTCAACAACAACAATGATGTTTTGTGTGGCGTGACGTAACACTTTCTGATTGGTGTTCATTGTCACGTGACTTAATGCCTATTTTGTACGAATTTATTTTTAAAAATATTAATAATTTTATGAGAAATAGACTGTTTTTTTCTTATCTATGTCTCTTCATTTATAATTTGAAACTATAAACCAAGCATTTTGTTATTAGTGGACACAAGCCTATTGGCAAGATGTTTTTCCAAACGAGATCATCGGTTAGGGTACAAATAGTGTAGGGAAAAATTTAAGTACAAATGGCGTGAATAGAGCGTCTATAGGTAGTAGATGCTGTTGCTTATACCGAGTAGTGGATGCTGCTGATCTGGAGGTCAATTCTTTCAAATTCAGTTACAATCTATTCTCGATCTCGCAAACGTCATAAAAGAATTTTGATCCTTAGCCAATCACATAAGGTCAATGACCTTACGTAAATGATGTTTATAAGAAAAACATGAAATTTGCAAATGTATTGCAAATGTTGTGTATAACTTAGTTCCAAAGGGGCGGCAAAATATTACTTTAGCTATGAAGACCGTGCTCGTTTCTTGTAGCTTCCAATTAGTTGATCTATTTTCAGCAAGTAAGCCGAACATTGTCAAATTAGTCTGTGAAAGAAACTTAACGTAGAACCAAGGCAGGTACTAAAGACCGTTTTCCTCGCAGAACACCGCAACATGCCGATAGAGGACGCGCTGCAGCTGCTGTCGCGCAACTTCCAGGAAGTGCAGCGCGGCGGCCCTTCGGGGCGCGAGGCCGTGTACGCGCTGCTCGGCCAGCTCGCCGACGGACGCACGCTCACCGTCATGCAGTACGACAAAGTCATTGAGTACTTACAGGTCACTATTCCAACATTTCGCATTTTTTCCATTCTCCTCTTCAAACTTTTTTGTATTCTTTGAGCACTAGGTCTTAGAAAACGGTGTCACAAGACTGAAATACAGTCTTAAAACTGACAAAATTCGTGATATTTACTATAGAAAGCTTAAAAGAGAAAATAATAAATTGAACTATAATTAAAGTAGTGAATAAAACTGATCTAACCTCCTTTCTAAGGAGAGGCCTATGTCCAGCAGTGGACTCTTATAGGCTGTTGATGATGATGATGATGATAAAACTGATCGATTAAATGTCTGAATTTATTGAAAATAAGAAATAAACTGAATTTTAGAAACCAAAGTGCACATCACAGACTTTAATAGTTCGCTGCTGAACATAGGCCTATCCTGAGACAGGAGGTTTTGGCCCACTATACCACGCTGGCCAGACGGCTTGGTGTAGGGTCTGTGTCAAGTTTTCCTTCTCTTTTCAATGTTGTTGTCCTGCATAGTTTCCTCCCTTAGACGGCTCTTACGGCACCCACGGGATGAATATTGGTGGTGACACTCCGTATTCTTAATCCGTCACCACACGGATAAAGTGCACCAGCAAGAAAAAATTAAGCAGAAGAAAAGCATAGCCACAATAGTAAAATTCAAATGTTTATGCTTACATTGGAATGTTAACTTCATTATATTGTTTTACCAATGAGCATTAATAGCGTCAGAATATTGCAAATGTGTCATTCTTAACGGTTAAGGAACTATTTTTATGTTTAGTATCTTTTTCACAGGAAAGAAAAGAACAGCAAGTCAAAATAGAATTAGGCGAGCCCCTTACCCCTGCGACTAAAGACAAAACACAAGTAGACCTCCAGCAACGGATTCTGAGCATTCTGAACGAGAAGAAGTCGCTGAGTAGCGCCGAGCCGGCGCCCGCGCCCGTCGCCGCACCTCCCCCCGCGCCCCTCGCACCCCTCGCGCCCCTCGCGCCCTCCGCCCCCTCGCAACCCACGGCACAGAGCAAACTGCTCAATGACCCTACCGTTAGGAAAGCACTAGATTCAATATTGCAAAAGTTTACGTAATTCATTACTTAGTTTAAGTTTAAATTTATGTATAGGTAATGTTGATTTTGCGGTCGCTCCACTATTTTATTAAAATAGAGGTTAATCTAGACAATCTTTCATTCTCAAATGTTTACCGTTACAGTCAATTAATTGAAATTGAAATGTGTTATTCAAATATACTCCTTAAATATTATAATAATTAATACACAACACCTATTCAAAAAAAAACGCTGCGAACGTATTATTTTTTTCAATGATTTTGTTGTTTCTTATAAAAAATTAAAAAGTTTTCATATGTAAATTTAATTACTTTTATGAAGTGAAATACAGTTTTGATAAAAAACTGAATTGACAAATTATGTGTATTAAGTTTATTCATGCAGTGTTTTATCATATTGTCTTTAAATTCTACTATGTAACTTCTCCTGAGATCTTGTCTGGTAAAGTGCTCGGTGAATATTTCGCAGGCGTAGCGTCGAAGGATGGCAAGCCCCAAGCATGAGTTGTGTTCATGTGTCAGAAGATGTCACTAAATGAACCTTAAAGTACTGTAATAGACATACCTTTAGATTATGTTATCAAAACTATACTATTCTGGGATATACATGTTTGGTTCAATGGAAGGTTATCGGTTTATTTCGAGGTACAAAGTAGATACCTAATGAATTATGCAAAATAGAAACCCTCATGACCACACTAACACAAGCGTATCAAATAACAATGTTAATGTTTTAAGTTGTCTCTTGAATCATTTTACATAATATTCTAGTAACTTCATGTAAATAGATACCTACTCCTGATCATAGTCTTTTTGATATTGGGCACCAAACGTACCCGAAAGTATGCAAGTATTTTATGACATTAGAGCCTTATTATTAGGAGGAGTCGGACTGCAGTAACCAAACTGTATTAAAAATTATTTGTTTTGTGTAGACTTAACCAGGTGACAAATGAGTTCTTTTCTCTCTTTAGGTTGTAAATTACGATAAGGCCGTATTTTTTCAATAAGACGCTGATAGGAAGGGTGCGTGCGTGGTGCACCCATTTCTTTCTTTTTTCTTTTAAAAAAGACAACTCCCGCATTAGGAATAAATCCTGTGTCGCGGGGGACTTTACAAACATACATGAAACGGACACAAAGAACACCCAGACTCAGAACAACAATTTGTGGATCACACAAAGTGTCGTCCCATGTGGGGTTTGAACCCACAACACTCGGCGTAGTAGGAAGCGGCGTGGCAACCGCTTAAACCACTACGCCATCCGTGCAGTCTCTACGAGTATCGGGTTTGCGCCTGTCCGTCTTCATACATTTAGTATGAAAAATCATTGGAAAGGCGTCGACACGCCGCTCCGCGACAAGTTTTCAGAAAGCCGAACTAAAGTGATTTGATTGTCTTCACTTAGAACTATAGGTAAAGACCTGTAGTTTTAAATGAGTGAAGACAGAAGTTATTTTCGTGGTACACTATTTGGCCTATTTCACTCTAACCAAACTAAATCCACCGGGTAATTCATTTAAACAAATTATCACATTGAGATATTGTTTTTATTAGTGTTCCGCTTTGATCCAGCAATGGCATTGACTCGACTTGACTTTTTTAGTTTTTATATAATTCATCATCATCACTATCAATAATTTCTAATAGTCCACTGCTGGACAATATGCCACTCTTTAGAAAACAACTACTATACCACGCTGGCCAGACGGATTGGTACAGCGCTTGTTTCAAGTTTTCGTTCTCTTTGCAGTGATGTTGTCCTACGCAGTTTGCCCCCTTAGTCGGCTCTTACGACATTCACGGTATGAATAAGAATGGTGACACTCCGTATTCTTAAACCGTCTCCACACGGACGATTTTATGTGATTAGAGAAGCGAAAAGGAATTCGATAATTTTTATGCAGCTTGAATAACCAAACAAGAAGATATTTATGTACGAGAAAAATATTCGTTATTTTCAAAATCCTTACAATTACCTACCAAATACTAACCTGTTCGGCAAATTGAAGAAAATGCTAAATATTGGCAACCACCACAAATCTTACCAATTTTTTCTCAATTATTCGTGGCCCTAATTTTTTTCTTTTTTTATTGATCATGTTTTTGTCACATCCTATGATTTTTATCTTTTTCTATGAAGATTGACCCTATCTACATCTAAGGCATGCAATCAATGATCATCAACAATGTTTTTACTACACCATTGCTATTAATATTAAATATTAATAGCAATGGTGTAGTACAAACATTGTAGATGATTACATTGTACATAATTTAGATGCAGATAGGGTAAAACCCAATCTATCAGGGTTTTCCTTCTTAGGGTACACCTGGTTCCCCGGCAACTGGTACCCGAGACGGCGTGCGGTTTTTGGTCGGTTCGAGTCCGACATAACCAACGGTGGGTGGTATCCGATGGGATTTCCGCTAAGAAGAAAAAAAGAAAAAAGGTAAAACCCTATCTGCATCTAAATCATGCAAAAGATGATCATTTACAATGTTTGCTCTACACTATTACTCCTATTTGCCACAATAATACCCCAATTATTGATTGTCACGTCGTAGCAAAGGTGTAACCTGAGTATCGTTTGTGAATGAAGACTGCTTGCAACAAACGCTATGAAGGCATTTCCCCTTGCTAAGCAAAGCGATGCGTCCACACCAAAGCATTGTTAATAAATGCGGGTGTAAAACTAATTTCGTTACTGCAGAAGTATACATGTAATCAGTGTTAGTGTACTCGGTGGTGCAGTGGTAGAGTTTACGACTCGGTCTCGGGTTCGATGCCCGGGTCGGACCAAATATTTGCAAGGTCTGCAAAGATTTGTTGCGGAGTTTGGGTGTTTTCTATGTATTATAGTATGTATGTATTTATAAAAAAAGTATATAAGTATTCTAGCTTTCATAGTACAAGCTTCGATCATCACAGTCATAGGTTTTGCAGCTAGATTGAGTAACTTAAATATATAGAACATTGAGGACAGCTAGGTGAGTCTTTATTGTTCATTATATTTGTAGGATTACTAGTATTATATAGTATTACTACTATTACGTATTTATATTCCGGTCTGAGTAACATAGTATTAGTTAAGTAATTAGATGTAATTTTCCTTTTTTTTTGTGCGGAAATCCCCTCGGATACCAGTTACCGGTGGCAATGTCGGACTCGAACCGACTAAAACCGCACGCCGTCTCAGATACCAGTAGTCGGGGAACCAGGTGTACCCTAGAAAGGAAATCCCTGGTGCCCTGACGTACCTCGGGCCATCTACGGCGGGTAGACGACCCCCCCTGTGTGGGAACCCCCATGTTCCCTCTGTGCTCCCAAAAGGGCGCGCGCGCTTCATAACGCGCTCGCCGTCACTCCGTCGTTCTGCGACCTCCGGTGCCTGAGTCGTCTGCGGTACCTGGCCCGTTCCCGAGCCTGGCGGGCCGGGAAAGTTCTAAACCTCTCCCGGTCCCGCTCCGCCATCTCCTTCGCAAGCATAACTTGCTCGTAGAAGGAAACGGCAGAGTTCCACGCACTCTCGCTTCGCATGATAGCCGCAATAAGGTTAACGAGCGAGAGAACTCCCACTCCGATGACCGCCACGAGGGCTCGCCTCTGCTTTACCCACGCCGGGCATTCTGACAGCGTGTGGAGCGCCGGAGCCACGGTCCGACCATCGCTGTGGTGGCACTCAGGCGTTGGCTCCTTGCGGATCAGACACAGGTGATCCCCGAAACACCATTTTTCAGTGATCGCGTTAGTCGGTATGAGAGGGTCCCGTGATGCCTCTCGATATCCAATCCTCCATAACGGGTCTTACCGCCGCTATGACGGCGTGCCCGATATGTAGTTTTCCTGATAAATTTACTTACGCATTTGGTATTGGTTACCTTTGAATGTGATAGAATAAATAATGACCCTTTAAGGTCTCTTCAGTGTGGTGAATCGATTTATAGCTGAGGTGAGGCCATTGCACCCAGGGTAGACACCCACGCCGCTCATTGCCATTATAAGGTTATTCTACGGTAAACTTTTTCCGCTGGAGCAATGCACACCAATAACGATTGGTGTGCGTTGCCCCAGCGGAAAAGCTAGAATTTCATTATTTGAGTTCAACAGATATTTAGTGTATGACGTCGTGTATTTGTGCATTTGTGCATCCAACCATTGGGGAGTTATTAAAAAAAAATTGTTTCACTTTTTTATACTACGTACGTAGAAGAAAAATGGTTTCAAAAATTTGTGTATGACGTGGGGTAATTGTGTGTCTAAATGAATTTGTGTGTCAATAAACTGCGAAGATATTCAAATTTTCAGAGCTACAACGTTTATGTATGTAATGTTTATGTGTGTAAATGTTCGTTTATATACGGAAGTTGTAAATGCGCACCACACGCTACATATTAATTTGAACTTTTTCCGCTGGGGCAACGCAAGCCGTTTTTGTTAATGACGTATTATAATACTTATATCATAATTGTTTATCTATCATTGGTGTTTGAGTAAAGGGCGATGCTCTGGTGGAGATCGAGCGGTCCGAGTCCGCCATCGGCGGAGGCGATGTGTCTGGTAAAGCATAGGGGCTAATGCAACACGTCGGGGTACCAGGGATTTCCTTTCTAGGGTACACCCGGTTCCCCGGCTACTGGTAACAGAGACGGCGTGCGGTTTTTGGTTGGTTGGAGTCCGACATAATCACCCCACCGGTGGGGATTTCCGCACAGGAAAAAAAAAGGGATAATGGAACACTAGACGAGCAGTATTCATGTGTCTTTGCGGCCTTGACCTTTCGGTTGTAGAAGTTTATTGACTTACTCTAATCTTATGTGCACAATAAATGGAAGACATATAGGCAAAGCACAACCAATAGCAATGTATTTAATTATTTCAAAATCCAAACTTTGATCCCCTCTTATCGCGGTTTCTTGTTGTTTATTCGAACGTTAAAAAGACAGTGAAAAGATGTTCAGTCAGGTGTCACATCTTACAGCCTAACGCGGAAAAAAGGAGGGTGGCATTAGACCTCCCCCATAGGGAGGGGAGCTCGCTACTCCTTTATTAGCTCAAAACTGCTTTACTCAGACTAGGGTTATTGAGGTACCATCACAACAGGTTACGCATATGCCCCTAATAGTTAATTTTAGAACAGCAAAATTAAAATATGAGTAGTGGTAGGTATAAAGTGAAATAATGAACACAAACAAATCCACTAATAATAAATAATTTATCCACTGATAATTAATTTGTGAAAAAGAATTTCCCCGTGGATAAAATTGAAATATATCACTATTTCAAAAAGTAGTGAAAAAATCTTACCTCCCTAACTAGTATACTTACTGCATACACCACTACGTATGCACTATCAACACAAATTACTGATATGGAACTGTTAATATAAAAAGTAGGACACAGTGTTATCACTTTCTACAAAACACTAAAAGATAACGCTATATAGGTACTGCAAATTATCATATGCTTATCTTTGATAATTGCTATGCATTTCTTACTTCAGAAACGCAGTTATTTTGTTTAGTACAATGTTTTCGGATTTGTTAAGCAATACTTTTGTTGCCTTTCACTCACTGAGTGAGTGAGGTTACCGGAGCCCAAATCCCCCCTCCCGCTGACTCGAGCGGGAGGGACTCCAAGGGCGGCAACGCACTTGTGACTTTTGAGTTACAGGTGTTCTTGGGCGGCGGTAGTTGCTTACCATCAGGAGACCCGTTTACCCCCTTATACCATAAAAAAATATTTGTAAAAGTTCTAGTTCTGTAATATTTTATTGGTATGACTAGCTGACCCTGCAAACGTTGTTTTGCTATTTACATTATTTTAATTTTTTTTTTTTTTAATTTCTTAAAATCCGTTCTTAGCTGACCTCTACTCGGTGAAAAGAATATTCCTACCAAATTTCAAGTCTTTAGCTCTAATGGTTCCAGAGATATCGTGATGAGTATCTATATACGTGGAAATCTCTTATATATATAGATAATAAAGGTTATTTGTTAAGGATGTTAAATGTCGGAATGTAATATAAGCATTTTCAATAAAACTAAATTTCAAGTTACATCAGTTTTATTTATTAAGTTCATACATAATTAATAGAGGTGGTCTAAACAAATTGATCCACTGAGCTAGCATTTCATTGGTGATTTCAAGTGACAAACGGTGCTAGTTAATTTGTTATGTACATACACAAGCAAAGGGATTTTTTTTATTGATGCTAACAACTATAATCCTGGTACTATACTCAAGATATTGAACATAAAAGATTATTGGTTTCATATTTTGATTTGTATGACCCTCTGCTAAACCTAACAATCAAAGCTGTTATGTCACAAAAATAAAATGTACATGCAGGGAACTCCGATTTATAGATTTTATGTAAAATTATACATGACATGATTAATAAGATGTCAACAACTACTACACCGCCAGCGGTCCCTCTTTAACGTCATCACTCTTCACATACTGAAATAGCTGATTAATATTTACATTTATGTGAGGTAAACATTAGTAAACGTTGTAATCTGAAATTCATCATTATGGCATTGTAATAATTTTAAACATCAATTTATATGATAATCATTTACAAACATCATCCCATTGAGATCAAGGCTCTAAAGTCTTTTTAATCTTTTAAGCATCATTGTTTTAAAAATTATATTCTTTATTTTTCTAGAAGTTATTAGCTATACAGATATATATAATAATCTAGGATAACATTACGAATATCCACATCTTACTCTATATAAACATATTATCCACATACGCCCTTATTTCTATAGCAAATAAATGCCACCACACACCCATCAAACTCCATAAAGCTTTGTTGGAAGAATTTGGTGTCAGTTGAGAAGTTCGACAGGTGAGAGCGATATTTACATGGGATCAGTCAATTATTGACTTCACTGCCTACCACAATAGTGCAGGAGATTCTACAATCCTTTAAACCATGAAAATTCGTCAAATAACTTATACTTTTTCAGGAGGATCTTCTTGTTTAGATGGGTCAAAACCTTCTTTAATGTGGCCACCTGTACCTTTGGGATCTAGATCTGTAGCCCAGCTAAAGTGCATGAGTGCTAAGTGGGAATTACCTAACATATTATGGACTTTACCAAGTAAATAATATACTAATGATTCTCTTGGTGCAATGTCCTTCAAATGATGTAGATCTACTAAAGCATCATCTGGTCTGCCTGCACGCAATAATACTGATGCTCGATGGAAACGACACAATGGGTTGTCTGTGTCTAATGCAACTGCTCTCTCTAAGGTAGCAAGAGCTCGATCCATTTTGCCCAATGCAGCTTGTGCTAATCCTAATTGGCACCTTAAGACTCCAGAGTGTGGATGTATAGTAAGAGCTCTCCGTATGTGTACTTCTGAAGGCTTCCAGCGTTCTTGTCGTGCATATACTGTAGCAATCCCAAACCACGCTACATAATTTCGTGGGTCAATACTAACTGCTGCTCTAAAACTTGCTAGAGCCTTGTCTGTTTCCTCAGCTACTGCATACTCATGACCCAATAAAGCATGTGCATAAGCTGCATCAGGATTTAACTGTACAGCTCGCTTGAAGAACTTCAAAGCTGTTTCACGTTCTTTATGGAGTGAAAAACAGTTTCCAGCTGCAAGCCAAGCAATAGGATCTTTTCTGTTCAATTCTACTAATTCTTGGGCCAATGCTGACAATTGAGCTTCTCTTTGTAAATGCCATAAACATGTACTGTAAATATCCATTCCTTCTGTGCGATTTGGGTACTGTTTTCTAATTTCTGCAAACATTTTTGCAGCTGCCTCATATTGTGCCAATTCGTAATGTGCTTTGGCTATCATTGTCTGCACCCATGGTGAAGCAAGTTGCTTAGGTGCAGTGTCTTGGAATAACTTTATAGCATTTTTACAGTCTAAGAATGCAAGACTTTTATAAGCCTCTCCTAACTCTCGCATTAAATTTAACAAAGCTATACCATTTGAATTCTTTGGTGGGATTGTGGATGTCACTGTTTCAACGCCTTTATTTCTTTCATTGGGTTCCACAGAATTACTTTTAATATTTTTGGCTGCACGCTGTTTATTTTTTCTTGACGGACTCTTAGGAGCTACAAATTTTCTGCTTGGTGATTTATTGTTTTCTTTAACTGAATAACTGCTGTTATTATTACTAAAGAGTCTGGATGAACGTCGCGGAGCTGGACCAAGGGTACATCTTGGAGCTGGACTGAACACTGCATCTTTTAACTGCCCCATTTGTGCTCTTAATGAATTTACTATCTTAGGTATAGCTTTTTGCTCATTGGAGTCAGTAAGTGTTGGAGTATATAAAACGGGAGATTCTTCCATCGGCAACATGCCAAATGAAGGAGAGAATGGAATAGGTGCCATGCCGCTGAATACACTATGCATTCTCTTTATAGGTGCTTGTGTTTCAGGAGTGATGCTTGTTGACATTGTCATGGGGGTTCTTGTGGCATTATTTGGTGTGACATTAGAATTAATAGCTGTGTTATTAGGAATGTTACTATTCACAAATGATATATTTTCAGAATTGCTGACTAGATTTACTAATGTTGTTACACCAAATGTAAAGTCAGTGTTATTCATTTGGAAAACTTGGTGGGGATCTATTTTCTCACCCATATTACATAGTTGTACAAATGATTTCCACATGAATGGATTCAGTGATAGTGCTTTCCTGTGTGCCTCAGCTGCTTTACTTCTTCTTTCAGTAATGTGATATATTTTGGCGAGCAGTTGTAATGCATACGGAGCTTGTTCACCAAATTCAGAAGCAACAATATCTAAATTAGATCCTAAGGCTTTCTCTGCATCTTTAAAACTGAAAAATTTAAATCATTATTAATAATACAAATTAGTTACACAAATCATTGCTTGGAATCACCATGCAATATTTTATTATCCTATTTTATTACAGTAAGAATTATAGTTGCTAAGATGTACAAAAACATTAATGGGTGATAACCTTATCACTTGATAATTAGTGATACTTACGATTTTAAATCAATGGAACATTTGGCTAAAAGGAATCTGGCTTGTGGCAAGGCTAATGACATGTTTTGCAACAAATGATGAGCTTCATTTACTCTTCCAGCTCTGTAATAACATGTTCCTAATAGAAAAGCAGTCTCTTCAGAAGCAACTGAAAAAATGAAGAATTTATTAGTCTTGCTAATGGCTTTTAATCATCATCATGAATTTTAGAACTATAAATTACGTAAAAATCAATAGTAGCACTCAAAATGCAATGTTAAACATTGTAAAAATTGGCGCATTTAACTGACAAAATAAATATTGTAGTATTACCTTCAGCATGTAATCTCTCAGCCAGAAAAATAGCGTTGTCGTATGCATAATTATTCAGACAATCCCAAACGATAACCTGTGGGAATTTAAATAATGAATAAAACGTCTCAACAAAATTACTTTGACAGCTCTTAGAAAATATATTTATTACACACCTGTATTGGCTCCTGAACAATCATTTTTGTAGATTATATGCACTTATGAGAATATAAATACTACAAATATTCACATCGCAGGCCACAATTATTACACAGTCACAAAATAAATTAGAGCGTATCTTTAACGACGGACATTTTCATTTTTGTAAATTGTCTATGGTAGATTGAAAATAAATTGCCAGTTTCTGGATAGACAATGCTATTAGCCATAATTAAACGTAGTTAAAAAATATGTTCAGTGCCAGCATCGAGGTACATATACCTAAGTTAAATACGTTGCATTAGAGCTTTTTTGCTGTAAAACGCTTGTCAAGACATTTTCAATTTTTCAGGGTCAAGATAATGAGAGTTTTATTTTAATCGAAATATAATAACGGCAAATACTTGAAGGTCTTGTAAGTAGTTGACTATTCTTTTTCATTTAATTATTTTATATTGAATATAATATTCTTCCCTAAATTGCAACAGTATTGTGGGTGATACAAGTCGTGCGTATAAAGTAAAGCTCATGTTGTTAATTCACTTTTGGAAAAGGTAAAAATTATTGTTTTTTGAGGATTTATTTAAATCAAACATACACCAATGTATCATATGCCAACATACCAATGTTCGCAAATTAAATAATTTGGTTGATTGATCATTTCATTTAGAGTGAAGTTATTATTATTATTTAAAACATTTTGGTCTGCAGAGATTTTGGAAAAATGTAGTCTTACATACTCATTGTATGCAGAAATGGTAGCATGCCATTTGCCACGATGCTGACATACGGCTCATAAGTTTAGCTGATTAAGAGTGTAAAATCTATCTCACACATCTCACACACGGCCTGTCTGATCCCAAACTAGGCAGAGCTCGTGCTATGGTAACCAGACTGCTAATTAATACTTATATATTTTTAAATACATGCATATTATAGAAAACTTACACCCAGGCACAGAAGAAATGACCGTGTTCGTCACACAATATTTGTCCTGGGGCAGGAATCGAACCCACGACGTCCGGTTTAGTAGTCAGGGTCACTAACCACTAGACTAACAGGCCCGTCGAGGCCATCGGCCATTCGAGGTATTAATGATAGCATGCCATTTGTCACGATGCTGACATACGGCTCACAAGGGTCACTGTTTAAGAGTGCATAAATAACTGTTTATGTACTGGTGCCCTTAGTTATAGTATATCTTAGTAAATAACCTAATACTTACTAACACAAATTTTAAACTTCGAAAAATCAATAAATAAATGAAAATGAAATGAAATGTTTATTTATTCTGATGTAAACTTTTGTTTTTGAAATTGCCTCAACCTTCATTAAATTTAAGTTCAATTGATTAAAAAATTCCTTAAATTATTAATTCCTAAGTTAACAGATAATGTTTTTGAATTTTTTCATCAGAATCATTGCTGTCAGTTAACAAAAGATTGTCATTTTGAAGCAGAAACTGTCTCTGGTTTGTTTAAAATTATTTTGTACAGCAACTAAACGCCAATCGTCACGAAGACAATCACGAAATCACGAATTTGCAAGCAGTGAGCAAAGTAAACGATGGACATGCAATTGAAGTGAAATTGTCGTTTTTGCAGTGTTTTGTTATTAATACGCTTGTGTTCGTTTTATAAGGATTTACAATTTGCGTGAACATTTTTGTGTAGGAAACCTACGTGATTATGTGTACAATATGCGCAGAGTGTTGATTACGAATGACATCTGTTAACAAAAGGAAAACAGTAATTTTGAGAAGTTATTAGATCATTTTTCAGGTAATTGTAATATGCACATTTTCTTTTTTAACATAACATATAAATTCCTTTTAGAGAGTGTTGAAACGAATAGTTTCTTTCATGCGTCTGTAGATGTATCGCCCTTCACTGAGTAATAATACACCAAACAAGAAAATGTCAAGACGTGTGACCTCCAATGTGTGAGTTCCGTGATATTTCACGACTTAATATAATTGATTAGGTGGATTGCATTGGAGGGTATGGGTTTCATTTTTACAACAATTATGTTCCACTTAGCATGTAGGTGAAATTAAATGCTTATTGAACAACTTAAGTATGAACTGGAAAGAAAAAGTTAAGAAATTATGGTATGACTTACTGGTTTCCTTCACTTAACAATTGTTGCTTAAATTTTTAAAAGTAAGGTAGAAGGGCGCCTATTTGGGAACAATTTGACACAAATACCTACTTTAATAATATCTAGGATAAAAAAATCAAATTACATCTGGATTGCTGTTGTTTATTCTTTTATTGCAGTATTACCAAAGAAATATATGAATTTGGAACCTTTGATTTATGGTTTCAATTTAGCTTTGTAATTTTTTAATAAAATTGGACCATTGTTTACACATCTGATTGAACCATATACCAATCTTATTATAACGGAAGATTTCTTGCAGCCATACTTATATTTTTCTATATAACTCATATATTGATATTGCTATGATTATAACAAAAATCAATTTTTCTGTTAAATTCACCAGTATCCTACTGTACAGTGTTGTATTTTTAATGATTACCAAAAAATCTAATTTAATTAAAATAGGTTTACCAGAAATACTTGCATAGAAATACTCTATAATAGTTTTTAGAGAGTAAAAGAAAGCTTTAGTTTTCATGGTATATTCTGGCTTTGTTTTAACTGAACTAAAAAAAAATATCTAAACAAATAATTGTTTAGACAATATTAATGTCAAAACAGAATACAAGGCAAAGTGTAGCATGCAAAAGTAATCTCATGCTGTCTCTTTTTAACTTGATATAAAAACAAAGACAGTAGACTGATTTCAGTAAAACCTTATCAGCCATTTTGTCATAATAAAAGATAAAGTTTATGTAGTCACAATATTGCTATTGAGTTACATGTTGTGTGTTTTAATTAATTTGCCAATAATGTATTTTTCTTATTTAAACACTGGTATGTATTGTATTTTTCTATGACACTACATGTAGCAGTTATTATATTAGTCTCTGTTATAATCTACAACTATAAAGGAAAAAGTTAGGTTGGGTTACATATACAATAAGCTTCAAAGATTATTTTATCTCTTTTTCTCTTAATTTGTTCCTCATTTTTTATCAATGCAACCACAGTGTGCCAAAGCGAAGCGGATCAGGGTATAGTTGGTTGGTAATAAAAAAGAATATTCTCGTTCATCTGTCTACTGTATTTGTGTTTTTCTGTATATTTCTCACTTATTTCTTTTTGTTTTGTTTGTTTACACTGAATATAATCTATATTGTGTCCACATACAATTTGTTTGTTTGACATTAGTCAACTTTACTGTGCCAGAATAAGGGTTATACTTTTGAGTATGTGTATGTATATTTCTTTGGCATGCTCTGTATTCTAAATGGCTTGATGGATTTTGGCATCGAGGTGTTCTTGGATTTGTCTTAATTGTGAGAGTGACACTGAGTATATGAAAATAATAAAATTGGCAATTTGTGAATTTTTTGTATAAATTTTCACACAGTCGGTTTTTTGTTTTCGTTTCTCAATAATACATAGGTATCTTATTATTATAGTAATGAAAAAAAATCTTTTGTTTAGAGAAGCCATTATATGTTGAAAAACTAGTAATGTTGTTGTATAGGTATGTATGTGATAACACAATTTAATTGAGTCATTGTATGATATCTTATCTTTATGATCATGGAGCTATTTACCCACATATAAGTAAAGTACTTAAGATACATGTTCCTACATTTACATAGTCACTATAATACATCAGAAGAAAGTAGTTCTAGCATACTGGTTTACTCGTGTTTGACCATAATTGATGAGCTGTAGATCGCAGTTCTAAGATTGATTTGCTCCCCGAATGCATAAAATAAATAAATAAATTACACTCATAAGAACAATTAAATTATGAAAAAAAAATTGTTCATACTTGCATAAAACTCTGACAAGTAGTTAAACTTAAAAAAAATATACTCTTCTGTTGTTAATTTTATGAAGTATGTTATTAAACCAATAGTGTTCTCAATCTAATGAAGGACATATAGACTTACAACCATCTCCCTGTCATTCAAGCCGGGCTAAACGTAAAGTTCAAACAGGTTTCATACCTATTGTCCCAACATCTAAGACGTCTTTACCACAGGTATTATGTATTAGGGGTTAAAGTATGAAATTGCCAATTTTTACTGAAAAATTAAAACTTGTTTTTTTTCTAAGGTGGAACATATTTATTTAATCAAAATATTTATCCTCATTATCTATACATTGCTGACATCTAAACGGAAGTTCATTTATGCCTGTAAGATAGAACTCTAGCTATCTAGATTCGACAAACTGTGTGAAAGCATTTTGTACTGCCTTCTCGGAAGATTTTTTTTATGTAGAAAATTGTCCAAATGGTAGTCCGTTGGCGCAAGGTCTGGCGAGTACAGAGGATGACAAATGGATTCTAGGGCGATCTCGGGTATCTTGTGTCAACTAGGGTGATTTGCCGTGCGTTTAGGCGATTCTGCCATACATATTATAGAAATCAAATATAGCTCACGTAGGATCCGTAATATTTTGTGGCCGTGGTGCTTCCCTGTTTAAAAGGGTGTATGCCTATTTTACTTCAATTTGTCTCCCGCTTTGCTAAGGAAGGAGAGTGGATTTACTGTATTTCCAACTCCTCCAATTTTCTTCTGATTAATTTCGTTGTGGGTTCCAAGACAGTTTAATTCCTTCCTGGGACTTCCCGAGTGTCATAACTCGGTGTGTTCGTGGGTCACTGTCTGTACAGGAGTTACTGTGGTGGGCTTGTAGGTGGGGTTAGTCCCTAAACTGGTGTCTAGCTCCTGCAGAGTTACAGTTACGCACGTTTGCAGTTACGGTTTCTCGTGCAGTGTAGGGTCTTGCGTTATCATGGAGAAATAATGGTGATGATTGATTCACGAGTCTTGGATGTTTCAGTGCCAGTTTCGCCATCATTGTTTAAAGTTCGGCACAGTAAACATTTGCTGCGGTGTTTGACCTTTGAGTGAAAAATGTAATGGCTTTTCTTTCTGCAGATCAGTCA